TCCCCAAAAAGCTTGTTGTAGGATAAAAGTCGAGAGGATCAACTTCATTGCACTGGGTTTTATCCCATATGGCTCTGTCTCTCTCCTCAGAATGGCTAGCCGCCTGCAGAGAGCGTCGTGCAGAGCATAATCTCTTTAGCTCCGGCGACGATCCCCAGAGATCTGGGTAAAAATTTAACTCGTGGACTGAAGAACGCGGCCATGGGGGGAATTCTATGACCTTCAGAGCACGAGGTGACTTGCTTAGCCACAGAGACCCCGAGTGTCGTAGAAGTTAACTAATTGCAGACTTTCTTCGAAGCCGGAGTGGTATCTGCGTGAGAAAAGGGAACAAACAGTCTGCATACAGATAAGTCAGATTTGTAAAACGGATGCACATGCAACACTCAGGTTCAGGTTCTACAGTCTAGAAGTGGACAAACAACCAGAACTTTCCCCTGAAGTTTACAGCTGGTAAACGAGAAGAGGAAAACTTCTAGTGTTATTAGCTTATATGTGTAATTCTTTTTAAAATTAGAATTAACAGTAATATTTATCATTGCTATCACTTTTTAAGGCGCAGAAAGCGTGATGAAGCTCAGCATGATATGGTCAAAATGAAGGGAACAACACTTTTATCAGAAGGCATTGATGAAATGGTGGGCATTTTGTACAGGCCTAAAACAACAGAGACACGACAAACATACGAAGTTCTGCTCAACTTCATTCAGGCAGCTTTAGGTGACCAGGTATGTAAAATGTGCCTTTAGTATCTCATATTCCGGTAGGTTTTTAGCTGTGGGAATGGGAGAGAATTGGCCACCATGGCAGGCATGAGAGGCTTAAAGATCAAGGAAACGGACTTCCAGGGTGACCCAGGGTCCCGCTGGGAAGACAATAGCCGACAGAGAATTGGAATGGAATAGGGCCAGAACAAAAAAACTGTTGATAGAGGAGTATGGCAATCTCTCTAGCAAACCTCTACACCCCATGGTAGAAGAGGAGCAACTAAGTAAGTAAGTTTTAGCTGTGGGTACAGATGTGTGTTGCACTTAGCAAACATTTCCTTCTTGGACTTTTATAGGAAGATGTTTTAGAACTGAAAATATGCCCCCCTCCCCTCCCCAAAGCAGCATTTCCCTGAGATACATGAAAGGCAGTTTCTGTGTGCCTCTAGTTTTTAGATTTTATCTCAGAAAAAATAAGCTGTTTTGTCTCGTAAACAGGGTTTATTTTCCAAGAGTTTTGTTTTTGTAACATTTGAACAGTTTACTCATGTCTGTGATGAGAACAACTACAATACTTAAGTAATGTAAACTAAAACATCCAAAACATGTCTAGACATGTGCAGACAAATGTGTGTTGAAATCGCAGAGTCAGATATCAGCCCAGCATCCGATTTGTCAAGTTTGCCGGTTGGGCTGCCGAACCTGGCTCTGTGTGAAAAATGTTTTTTTATTACCTTGCAACATTACTAGCTCTTCTGTTGCTGATGTGTGTGAAAACAGTCTTAGATAGTTTCAGTGAATTATAATGCATGGTTTTTGTTGTTGTTGTTGTTAGGGATTTTTAAAAAAAAACAAGTTGAACAAAGCTCATTTATTTAGATTTTTACGTAATGAAATTTCTTTTTATGGGATGACAGAAGAAATTGATTAACTCTTTAAGGACGGCATGTTTTCTGGGGTTTGGACAGCATTAATTTTGAGCGGAATTTTTTTACAGCAACATGAAAAACCTAAAACTGTCCTGTTGAAAAACTACTGGCTGTATAGTACCATGTAAACTATCTAAGGATCAGTATTGCAACAATTTTATATTAAAATAACACCATATTCGATGATGTTAGACGCACAGAAATATTTTTTTGGTAAGAAAAATTGTGTTTACCTACTTTTTTGCTGGATCAGAAACACTTCTCCTCATTCTTAAGAATTTACCTACCTTCTCTATTCAATTATGTATCAGCTAGCTTTTATTTGAGACAATTATCCTGAATACTTTGCATTTTATGACAATTCTTATGTGACGTGTCAAATTTTAGAATAAGCGAATGAAAAGGAAAACTAAATTACTGAATTTTGTAACAGCAATATGACAAAGCTAAAACCATTGTGTTGAAAAAGTACTGGCTGTATAGTACCATGTAATACATCAAATTAAAGAGAAATGAATGCAGAATGCATGTAAACTATCTAAGGGTTAGTATCGCAACAATAACATACAACAGTGACACCACATTAGAGGAAGACAAAAAAAATATTTTAGACATGCAATGTTGTTCTTACCTTATTCTTTTACTTGTTCAGCAGTATAGCTATCCATCTCTAAGAATGCACATGCCTTCTCTATTCAATTATGCATCAGCTAGTCTTTCTTTGAAACAATTGTTCCAAATACTTTAAATTTTATCATTATTTTTGCCTGACGCATCAAATTTTAAAACAACCGGGAAAAAAATATTTACATAATATATAAGGACAATTCCGGTGACGACTTAAGACTATTTATCTGACAATGATTATGATACTGATCTTGAATACAGCCACCTTACTGGGTGTGATATGCCCTAAAACATGCATTGGGGCACAGATGAGGGTTGTCAGCACATCCAACGCAGTAAAACCTGCCGCGTTTTCGAATCTTTTTCTTGCTGCACTGTACACATTGCCTGTCTGCACCAGCATAGTCAACTAAATGGTCTGCCCCAAAAAAACTGGCAGACAAGGCTGGCCTTTTGCCTGGTCTGCGAGCCACAGCAATGATCATGTCTGTTGGAACTTCATGACCTGAGAGCGCAGTTAGTTGCTGGATGAGCTCGTCTTTAAAATGTGCGAGACTCATTCGCTTGGGGGTAGCATGATGGGATGACATGTACAATATGTGAGCATTGACCTGCGTCACTTCCACGATCCACGTAAAAACATTTTTCCACCACTTCTTAGTTTTGCGATTGTGATTACTATAGTACGAGACCATTTGATCCAAACGATCACAGCCATTCATACTTATATTGTATGAATGAATGGGGCTAGGTTTCTGAACCTTTCTACTCCCTTCCTGGCGCTCTTCAAATGTAGAACTTCCATTTGTGGTCAGTAGGATGCAAGGTTTTTTTTATTGTTTATCTCACCAGGAAACACAAAGAATATTCTGCTCATTATTAACTAACCATCTCGGAGTTCCAAAGATGGTTGGTTGTTGTTTTAGCTGCTGCGGCAATCCTTTGCGGTTTTTATTCACTGTGCCAGTATAATTCAATTTCATGGATAAAAGAAATTGAATGAGAGGGAGTGATGTATAAAATCTATCTGCAAATAGATAACGGCTCGTTGGTCTAGGGGTATGATTCTCGCTTAGGGTGCGAGAGGTCCCGGGTTCAAATCCCGGACGAGCCCAATATTTTGGTAGTTTCGTCGCCCAGCTTCTGAGTTGAGTGCATGGCGTGACACTGTGAGCTGCGTTTGTTTTGCGCTGGCACAGAAGCGGAGCATATGTGGGGTGACCCGTTTGCTATGAAGCTGAAACTAGGATTACCAGATGATGGTAACTTTCAACACCCTGCAGTAGGGTTGAAAATACCTTTACAGCGTGAGTTGATGTTGGATCAAGCTCAGGATTGTAGGCAGTTTTTGCTCCGAAGTAAATTAGCAGATTATAAACATAGCCTGTGATTGAATCACAAAGACCAAATGTCTTTATATGATACTTGTGAGGCTTGGCTGCATTGTACTGTTTAGCATGAAACCTGCCTTTGAAACCAATGACCATCTCATCAACAGAAAGATTTTCATATGGGTAAAATGCTGACTGAAACTTTGCTACTAGATTATTCACAAATGGCTCAATCTTTGCTTGGCCTTGTGCGTTGGGTTCTGATGCATGCAGGATTGACTGGTAAACAAGCAAGAACTTAGTTCTTGGAAACATGACCTTGAACCATGGTGTGAATTTATGGTTCGCTGTAGACCAGTAATCTTTGGTGTCATGTTTCGGTGTAATTCCCATCGCTATCACTACACTGAGAAACTGAAAACAAATTTCTCTAGTCATTGGCTGCCACTCAGACAATGTAGATCTTTTTCTCAGTGGTATATTTTTCTTTATTTTTTCCACTGCATAAAGATTTATGTTTTCAACAAGGCTGTCAATCAATGAGATCAGTTGTCAGCAATATCAATAAGCAATCCAGTGGTGTTGAATTTTCATCCAGTGGTGCCTGAATTCCAGACCCAGCTGATCGAAACAGGGACGATCTGATCGAAAAATTTTCTTCAGCTTCTTTCCAAGCCATAACGTTAGCAACAGATACTGCACGAACATTATCATTATTTATAAGGTCAACACTATTGTTGTCACTATCTGGCTCAGATTCATCAACAGCAGCAGCAGTATGGGCAGTTCTGTAGGCTTTGTTATTGTTCTGCTTTCCCTTACCCTTACTATTTAGTCTGGCGTGTTTTGCAGCAGATGGCTGATATTCTTGATCGTCACCATCTACATCATTGTCAGATAATTCAGAATCTAAGTTATCATCACTACTAGAATTATCTTCTTCATCTAACAACAGCTGCATAAGATCTAAAGCCTACATTTTTGTCATTCTTTGAGCTCTATCTGCAGTGGATGTCGAAGGGTTGGAAGTTGCCATTTCAGAAAACTCACCAAAAAAACTATATCGCACAAAATAAATCTAAAACAAATCACAAAGTTGTAAACACACCACGCTAATATTCGCACTCGAAAGGACTTCCTGTGCTGAATCCTGATTGTTCAAAAACTGGTTCATAAAAGTTTGTTTTCCCCACAAACGGAACAAAATTAGAGTCTCCATCATGCACCAGTTTACTATTGGTCCTTAAAGAGTTAAATATTAGAAATTTACAAAGGTAATCTTTCAGTAACAGTGTTATTATATATATATTACTACAAAGTTATCAAATGCATGCAATATTGATTGTGTTATAAGCTGGATATTTAAAGGAAAAATGTTCATATATCATTACAAACTACATTTGCAGCCTCGAGATGTTCTCTGTGGGGCAGCAGATGAAGTATTGCTTGTGTTGAAAAATGATCGCATGAAAGATAAGGAAAAGAAGAAGGAAGTAGAGAGTCTTCTCGGTGAAATTGCTGATGAGAGATTTGCCCTGTTGGTCAACCTGGGAAAGAAAATAACGGACTGGAGTCAGGAGGAAAAGACACAAACAAGTATGTTTTTTTTTGAATTTTTCTTCTTTTCCAATATTTCAGTTTTGTTCATGTCGTTTTTGTTTCTTTTAAAAGTTATTAGTTTTAAATATAAATATATATATGTGTGTGTGTGAAGTGAAAAAATTGTAAACGTTCAGTTCAGACTGATATGATGTACCATTAGCTCAACAAAGCTTTTGAAGAATATGATTGCAATTGTGACTAAGTATTTACTGCAAAGATATGTGACATTAAGAAATTAAAAGTACTTTTGCCACACTCAGGTTTATAACAGTGCATTTTGCGGAAAACAACAGGATACACTGATATCCGTAGGTGTAAAAAAAAGAAAAGAAAGTTAACATACGTGATGTGTTTAATAAGTGCATTATATCATATGTGTGTCAACTAAATTGCTGTATATTTTTTCCAGCTGAGGCTATTGATTTTGATGAAACCTATGGTGTTAATGTACAGTTTGAAGAATCGGATGATGAGGTGTGTATTATTAGTTTTAAAGTGTATTTCTTTACAATCTTTTAACTGTAAATGATTTTGTTGCTTTTATTTTCTTTAAAGAAAACATTTTCACATGTAAAATATCTATTTTAAAAATTTATTACACTTACACGTTGTCTTAAAATATATAAAGGGATTAATCAGTAAACATGAACAGAGTGAAGCATTAATTGGAATACATTCTGCGGGGCCTAAAGAAATATGTATTGATTAACTCGTGCTGTGGCCCTGTGACCTCTATCCAGGGTTCGTAGTGGACCGGGAAATCGGGAAATTACCGGGATTTTTTTCGTTGACCTTGAACCGGGATTTTTAGCTTATAAAAGACATTCCGACCTTAAAAACCCGTGAATTTTGACCGCGGCAATGAAATCGTCAGAAATCCTGTGTTTTTCAGCACAGGCAATTTTGGGGAAGCCATTTGGCTTTTTTGGCCATTTAGCTAGTTTTTGGCTACTTTCGTTGTATGGTCGTTTCAGGTGTGAGATCAGCTGATTATTGGCTATTTTCAGCCGAAATGGCTTGTTAAAGGCCAGGGGAGGGCGGGCTTTGTTGCTGATCATGAAAACATGCAGATAGCAGCGGTGTGGCATGGGGCGGGAAGTAGCAGCTTCCGTCTCGCGCGCGTGTGTGCCTTTGTTTCTAGCGAGTCCGGCAGAATGAACAGTTTAAATCGTTTATGGCCGTGGTTTCTAGAAAGGATTACATTGGGAGATGGTGGGGCTCGGTTCAGTTGTATTTATAAATAGAGTCGCCGTGGTGGGGGCTAAGCACGGCCTTCTCTATTAATTAGAGAAGCTAAGCAAAGTGACTGCAGCTGGATTTCCCAGTTCTATTTTTGGCCTGAATTTATCTTTACAGTGTGTTTGGCGATCAGTATTGAAATTCCCCGAGATTCCCTCTTCTGTTGTCTCACCCCTCTCTCTCTCTTCCCTCCCTCTTTCACTCTTCTACCTATTGCTCCTTCCTTCCCGTCTCCTGCATTGTCTCTAACCCTCCCTTCTGATCTTCATCTTCTTCTCTTTCTCTCTATCTTTCCGTTTACTCTTTCATTTCCTGTCCCCCCTCCCCCTTTTTCCTATTTTATTTCTTGTTTAAATGTTTAGTAAATGTGTGGCTCCACAACTCTCCCTAGCAACTCAAGTACACAGGAAGTTGTATTGGAGGGAGGGGGGGGGGGGGCTTTCTGTGTGAACATGGTGGATATTTTCTTTTGATGTGTTTGTTTTCCTAGCGGCCTTAATCTCTGTCCATCTCCCTTCCCGCCCCCTCACATTTTTGTCCTACCTGTTCCTCACTCTCTGCCTGTCTGTGTCACTGCTTTCCTCTCTCTCTTTGTATTTGCCGCTCTCCCTCACTCCCTCCCTCTCTTTCTCTCTCTCTCTTTCTTTCTTTCTCCATACCTTCAGTTGGTGTATAAGGTTATGTGTTGCCTAGTGCAGAACATTTCATGTCCATCATTCCCCCCTCCCACACATTAAATATATGTGTAGTTTTAAAAACACATTTGCCGTCACCCCCCCCCCCCCTTTTTCTCCTCCTACATTGATGACACCTAGGGGAGGGAGTGCACCCCTTCCTGCTACCTTCTTCCCTCTATATCTCATCTTATTTCTTACTCCCTTCTTTCTCTCCCTGTCTCATTCCCACTTTATTTTCTTAAACTTTATTCTCTCACCTCCTCTGTCTCACCCTTACCACCTCAGCCTTCTACACCACTTTCCACCACCTCCTCTCTCCCCTCCTTTCTGTAATTGGAAAACCAGAAATAAAACGAAGTCCACTGCTGCCCTGACCTATTTATGTGTCTGACCTATTTATGTGTGTGGGTAAATTTCTTTATTTTCCACCAGTGGTGGGTTGGGATCCCCTGGACTTTTTTTTTCTTCATAAAATGACCTTGGCTCTCAGGTCACCAGCCTTAAGTGTAAGAAATTGAATTATTGTTGTCACACACAGATAGGACAAGCAAGGGGCAGTAGGGGTTAGCACTGTTGTTTTTGGACCACAGCCACATTCACATTGGGAGAGGGTAGGAACCGGAAAAGTGGCCTCACTTAGAGATTTCCTAATTCTATTTTTGGTACTCATTGTTCTTACACCCCCCACCCCCACAACCGTGTCTTACCTTTCTTCTCTCACCCCTTCTCTTTCCTTTGATCTTCTACTATTCTCCTTTCTCTCTCCATTCTTCCTCTCTTCCTTTCCTTGCCCTTTCTCCTGTCCCATCTCTTCTTTGTCTCCTCTCCATCCTGTCTTTTCATTTTCTCTAGATTTCCTTACCCGCTCCCCTCTCTCATTCTCTCTCCCCCCCCCCCCCCCCCATTTTTTTACCTGGTTCATCTACATATTTTTTTTGCCCCATAACTATCTTTTCCTAGTGGTTGTGTCCACTACACTTGAAATTGTGGGGGGGGGGGGGGGGGGTGGGTGGCTGGCTGTTTTTTTTCTTTGAGGTATCTTGTCTCCCTTCCTTCCCCCCTCTCTTAATCTGTGTTTGTCACTGCCTTCCTTACCCACCTTTCTCTCTCTCTCTCTTGCTTTATGTCTGTTTGCCTCCCTTCATCACTTCCTCTTTGTATACATCCCTCCCATTCTCCTGCTCTGCCTTTTTTCTCTTTCTTTGGTTCTCTCCCTCTGTCTGCTTGCCTCTCTGTGCTGTCCCTTTGTCTCTCTCTCCTTTATGTCTACATCTCTCTCTGCTTGCATCTGCTTCTCACCCTGTCCGTTCTCTCTCCCTCTGTCTCCCTTCTTTCAACTCTTTGTCATATTTTCCTCCTTCCATATCTGTTTCGTTCCCTTTTTCCTTCTCTTTTCATCTGCCAATCTCTGTATCTGCATTCCCTCTTTCTGTATTTGTCTCCCTCTCTGTCTTTCGCTGTCCCTTCCCCACTTTTCCTCATCATGTCTCCATCCCTCCCTCTCATTTTTTCCTCCTTCCCCAGACTTCTTTTCCTTCTTTTCTCTACCTTCATCTGTCCATCTTTACACTGTCTCTCCCAGCCTACCTCAGCATGTGTCTTCCTCTCTCTTCATGACTCTCTCTCCCCTAACCCTCTCAGGTACCAGGTCCAGAACAGACAGGACTTCAGTTTGCTGCCCTCTACCACCAAGCCCTAAAAAAAAATTTCAAACACTATATCAAGCTCAGGGGCCGACCAACACGAAGATGGGCACAGGATATAAGTGACTCCTTGAGTATAAAAAAATACATGAGGCGGGAGAGCTGGTGAGAGACCGAGGTTTTTTTTGTCAGGACAAAGGAAATGCTACATGATGATGATATCTGTGCTGGTATACCAACACATGTGGCACAAATGAAGTACCTTGTGTGCTCAGTACACCCTTGAACAAGGCAAAAATCTTGTATTAGTATTACACCGAGACAACCTTGAAAAAAACTAAGGAGACCTTGAAAAAGACCTTGAAAAGCCTTGAAATTGATTGGTAAATTTGGCTATGAACCCTGTGTCCACTACACTTGAAATTGTGTGTGGGGGGGGGGGGGGGCTGTTTTTTTCTTTTTCTTTGATGTATCTTGTCTCCCTTCCTGCCCCCCTCTCTTAATCTGTGTTTGTCACTGCCTTCCTTACCCACCTCTCTCTCTCTCTCTTGCTTTATGTCTGTTTGCCTCCCTTCATCACTTCCTCTTTGTATACCTCCCTCCCATTCTCCTGCTCTGCCTTTTTTCTCTTTCTTTGGTTCTCTCCCTCTGTCTGCTTGCCTCTCTGTGCTGTCCCTTTGTCTCTCTCTCCTTTATGTCTACATCTCTCTCTGCTTGCATCTGCTTCTCACCCTGTCCGTTCTCTCTCCCTCTGTCTCCCTTCTTTCAACTCTTTGTCATATTTTCCTCCTTCCATATCTCTGTTTCGTTCCCTTTTTCCTTCTCTTTTCATCTGCCCATCTCTGTATCTGCATTCCCTCTTTCTGTATTTGTCTCCCTCTCTGTCTTTCGCTGTCCCTTCCCCACTTTTTTTTCCTCATCATGTCTCCATCCCTCCCTCTCATTTTTTCCTCCTTCCCCAGACTTCTTTTCTCTACCTTCATCTGTCCATCTTTACACTGTCTCTCCCAGCCTACCTCAGCATGTGTCTTCCTCTCTCTTCATGACTCTCTCTCTCTCCCCTAACCCTCTCAGGTACCAGGTCCAGAACAGACAGGACTTCAGTTTGCTGCCCTCTACCACCAAGCCCTAAAAAAAATTTCAAACACTATATCAAGCTCAGGGGCCGACCAACACGAAGATGGGCACAGGATATAAGTGACTCCTTGAGTATAAAAAAGTACATGAGGCGGGAGAGCTGGTGAGAGACCGAGGTTTTTTTGTCAGGACAAAGGAAATGCTACATGATGATGATATCTGTGCTGGTATACCAACACATGTGGCACAAATAAAGTACCTTGTGTACTCAGTACACCCTTGAACAAGGCAAAAATTTTGTTTCAGTATTACACCGAGACAACCTTGAAAAAAACTAAGGAGACCTTGAAAAAGACCTTGAAAAGCCTTGAAATTGATTGGTAAATTTGGCTATGAACCCTGTCTATCACTGGGGCTTAAAGGAAAATTTGATGTCAGCATGGTTTTGAAAAGGTCTTCTGAATCATGGGAACCCCTCCTAAATGCTGTTTTTAATTAATATATTTAAATCCGGACTTCCTAAACACAGCGTAAAAAAGAATCTGCGACATTCGGCTATGCTTTTCGAGAGAACAGATGACTGCAGAGATGCATGTACATAGTTTACAGGACTTGTCAAGCTAAAAGTAATTAGTCTTCTTGGGATGACTGTGTTAAGTATGGTGATGTTATTATTAAAGTTTTTTTTCTTTCTAATGCTTCAATCCCACATGGTCAAGCTTTGCAAAGAAAATTATGTTTAGTTTGAAAAAAAATAGTTTGCAAAGATTTCATTCTGATCTTTTACTTTATTCAATTAAGGATACTGCAGATATGTATGGTGAAGTGCAGGAGGAAGGAGATGCAGATGAAGACAATGAAGGAGAGGAGGCAGCATTTGATGCTACTCTTCATGCTAATGTTAGTACCCGTATATTTTTGTAAACAAATGTATGCATTTACCAAAATGTTTATGTAAGCTATGTTTAGATATCAAGACAGACTTACCTGCTGCAATAGAACAATGTTGAGGCTCGCTGACAGTGCTGTTTTATAGGAAATGTAGACTTGTCAGAATGTGTTATGTGTAGATATCAAGACAGACTTTCCTGCTGCAATAGAACACTGTTGGGGCATGCTGACAGTGCTGTTTTATAGGAAATGTAGACTTGTCAGAATGTGTTATGTGAAGATATCAAGACAGACTTTCCTGCTGCAATAGAACAATGTTGGGGCATGCTGACAGTGCTGTTTTAGTAAATGTAGCCTTGCCAGAATGTTTGTGTAAATTATGTGTATATATCAAGACCGACTTCCCTGTTGTTGCAATAGAACATTGTTGGGGCATGACAGTATTGCTTTTTTAAATGAAATGTAGCTTTCCCTAAACATTCCAGGGCCGCGCTTGGTTTAGGAAAGAGGGAGGGGGGGGGGGGAGTAGCTATGCTCCTAACAAACATTACATAAAAGGTGACTAAATAGGGGTTTGTTAAAATTGAATGTGTTGAGCTGAAAAGCGCAGATCTCGCAGGCTAGCTACTAGCTGAAACTCATTGTTCCAGCCACCCTTTTGACTCATTTAATGACAAGGAACACATTATGCATAAATTTATAATTGATTATACTGTCCTCTGGTATCAAAAAAGTTAAGAGCGAATTAAGACTATAGAAATGTTGCATATTAGCTCTTTAATGTATTTTGCATGGCTTAAACATATTTTTGCTAACATTTCAGCTGTCTGAAGAAGATAAAAACAAAGCAGATCGTGGACTCCATCCTAGAGAAATTGATGCCTTCTGGATTCAGAGAAAGATTAGCAAGTTTTATCCTGATGATCCTAACATGGCTCAAAGTAAAGCCAATGAGGTTCTTGAAATTTTGAAAGTAAGTTTTTATATCTGAGCCACCCTTTACAAGTTAAATTGTTATTTCTCAGCGCCCATGATATATGAGCAGAGATCACAGACCATACACAATTATGAAGAATCTAAGTAAATGTTTTTATTTTTTAAAGATTAATATATGGCAATAATATATCTGATGTTTTCAAAGAAATTATTATTAGTGCACACAGCATATGAACCTAAACAGAGCCTATTGAAATATAAATAGAAAATTTTTGTTTCTAGAGAAAGACTTGAAAAGTAGCGTTAGGGACAGAGATGCATAGAATAGACAGGTGATTGCAAAAGATAGGATAGTTTAGCATGAGTTGAGTTGTGTTAAGAACTGACATCACAACACTGTGGTATTCCCATAAACGCTGTTTCCTCATCTTCATAACCAGCGCATAGTTTTAATTCCGATAGTACCAGTTGCAGTCTAATTGTATGTCTGTCTTGCTTTTATTGTGAGTGCTGAGTGTCGGTTAGATAACCTGGCCACTCCATGCTGCACCATTCTTTTCAGACCGTGATGATCTGTTTGCGTCTTCACACTGTTTTCTTATACCCAAAGGAAACTAACAATATCTAGCTTGTCGTTCATCAAGTTTCCATCAAGTTTGATAGAATCACCCGGTCCGTATCTCTACATTTCCCAACACACCTGCATGAGAAAAATGAAAAAAATATCCAATAAATGCTAATTACCTGGGATCTCTGAAGCGATGCTTGCCACCCTGCCTTGAGCATACCTGTCTTTACCTTTCTCCGCATTTTTTTTTTTTGAGGCAGTAACAATCAAAACGTAAGAGGTATCATCGTCGTCATAAATTATTTTGAGTTTTATAAGGAAAAAAAGCAAATGTGAACTTTGCGCAGTTTGGCCAAAAGCATGCCAAGCGAAAAAAACATGAATGCTTGAGAACAGTCTGAAAGTTCACTAGGAAAGGAAGAGGCCATTTAAGCCATGAGAGAAATAGATAGTCTAGTCTTGTTTTAGATCCTGAGACAGTGTTGTCTAGTGGCACTGGAAAAGCGAAATATAAGTGAATGTCTGCTCAAGCGTCACGATAAAACCTGGCAGTCTTGTTTAGCCTAACATCTTGCAATTCCCGAACATCATCTGCTGTCCGTGTGAGTGGTTGTGAATGCAGTTTGATGAGACTTGAGGTGTTAGTCGTTGGAAATGCTTTGAATTAGGTCAGGTAAAGACACATTTAATTTTCTGTATAATTACCCTAGATGTCCGACCTTTGGCGCATCGCACGAGGAGCATTATTTGGATGATAAACAACAGTTGTCATCTGTATTTCTCAACGTGTCCATATTTCAAGCATGCTGTGTGCCGCTGGCTCTGAAGCCAGTGCAAGGCTGCAGTGACTGCCTCCACTTCCATTCTCAAACCAGATGTGATATTATATGAAAGGCTTTATTGCACTAAGGGTTGCTCTTTTACTTTTGCTTTGAACTCCCATCCACTCCTTCTGCGTGGTATAGCATGATATGATAGCCTGTTCTTTTTGGAGATGCAAGGCAGTAGATGGTAAAGAAAGTGATAATATATTCTTTTTGAAACCGACGAAAATTTTTCTAACTTTCAGACTGCAGGAGATGATAGAGAAGCAGAAACCAAACTTGTCATGCTTTTGGATGTGTCACATTTTGAGTTCATTAAAGTTTTACGCCAACACAGACAGATGAGTAAGTCACATGATTTTGTATTGGGATGTTTACTTTTATGACAGCATACTAAATGTTGAATTAAGAATCAACATCACAGCACCCAGGACACCCCCATTAGTGCTCCGTTCCCATCTTCAGCAGCAAGCAAAGAGTTAAAATTCCTATGATACCAATAACTCTGATTGAATATCCGTCTCGCCTTTCCCCTAAGCGTCGAGCCTCAGCCAGATCCCCTTGTAACTCCTCACAGTGCCATTCTCCTCAGACTTTGATGATCCATCTGTGCATCTGCACTGTTCACTCTCTCCCAAAGGGCCCTCACAACATCCAGCTTGTCATACATCAGTTCACCACCAAGTGGAGCAGAACCGGCCAGTCTGTCCTACTGCTAATTTTCCAACACACAGGCATGACCTGGAGAAAATATCCAAAGGCTGCTAACTACCCTGGATCTTTGAAGTCATGCTTGCCACTCTGCAGGGAGCATGCCTGTCTCCACCTTTCTCAATGTGCTCTGTGAGTCAGTGACAATGAGGGCATGTGTGTACAGCTGATTCTCAAGCCAACGGAAGGCAGCAGTGACTGCCTCCACCTCCATTCTCAAACTAGATGTTGTGGTTGACAGCATACTAGAGTATTTTAAGTGTTTATTTAGGTTATTGTGCAATCAGAAGCATATTTCGTTAATATGCTTTTCTTTTATACATTGAACTCTTGTTTTGGCACTGTAGAGATGCTCTCTGTGTCTGCCTCATGATTTAGTATTAGGTTCACCCCCAGTATAAGACTGGACATTTCACAAGAACCGTTGTTTTGTAATTAGAATTCCTAAGGACATCCTGTATGGTAAGTTACAGATAGGTAGAAGTAATCAAGGTCGGTCTCTGCTTCAGTGTAAAGATCTGTACCATCGAGGCATGAATTGTGCAGGCATTGAAATGGATTCATATGGACAGGATGCCATGGATTTCAATGCATAAAGGGTGTAAAAATCAGGAAGGGAATATGGATAAGAGAGAACATGGCAGTAATAGTCTTGAAATCCTATTCTCTATTTCTGGAAGGCTTTGCATAACACTAGCAGGTCTTGCTAGTCACACTCACCATCATCATGGTTTGTGATTTCCATCCTCCCTGTTGGTTAGTTGCGTATACTTTACAGGACGTTGCAGAACCAACCCCAGCAGCCCCTGGCTGTTGTGTGGTTTCTGTAGGCAAATTTACGTCCAGTAGTTTGCCATTGCTTTTTGGACGGTCGGCCTCCTGATACCACTGTCAAAACCAACTCAAGGCGCATGGCCTGCAGCTGGGATCGAACCCGGCACCCCAGCATTACGAAGCGTTTGCATGGACTTAGCCACAGAGCCGACTATCCTCCCTATAGCACAGTATAATGCTATCATAAACAAAGACTGTTTTTCAGCAATAAACATTCCCTTTGATTTCTTAGATAGTGATTGGATACCTGCTGCATTTGGAATTTTAAGAAACAACAACCAGTGTTGCTGCGAGCATTAAAAAAGCCTGCAGCAGTTGGACATAACAAAGAGTAGATCCTAAGGCATGTCAGAATTAGGATGAGAAAACTTCCTTACTGTTATAACTGCTTATGGAATTAGTCTAGGATAAAGCACCTTGTACAGACTGCATGGCAATGTCAAAAACCCACAGACTTTTGAGTTGAAGAGGTGCATGACTAGGTGTTCCCTGAGTTTTGTGTTTTGTCATGATCACCTGGTCACTCTGTACTGCACCAGTCTCTTCAGACCATGATGATCTGTTTGTGCCTTCACACTATTTCTTTACTCTCAAAAGGCCTTGACAACATCTAGCTTGTTGACACACTTCTTTTGAATGGGGGGAAAGCATTTTTGTTTTTTGTCATCAGAGTATTGTAATTTGATGTTATAAGACACCTAATGTGTGAAAATAAACTTGAAAATTTAATGACAACTGGCACGCTTTGAAGAAAAGGAGCAAAGGAAAACAGATAGTTTAGGCTATAGCTTGGTATAATTAAGATGAGACAAAGTACCTGGGCTCTAGTGAAGTTATGAGATGGTGACCCATGATCATCCTTGAATTGCAGATGATTATAATAATTAAGAGTTGTATTTTTCTAAATTTGTCTTTCAGTTTTGTATTGCACATTATTGGCACAAGCACAGACTACTGCAGAAAAGAAGAGGATTGAGCAGAAAATGTCAAATGATGCTGAACTGGCATTCATTCTGAAATCACTGCAGGCTACTGATCAAGATGATATTGTCAGCGAAGAGAGAGCTAGAAAGCAGCAAGCCAGACAGTCCCGGGTTGCAGCAGATATTGAAGCTATGGATGTGGATGATGAAGATGTATGTTGCACTTTTTTAATTTATACGTTTTTATTGGGAACCATTATAGCATAGCAGCTCGATTACTGAAGTCTAGGGTTCGAGTCGGCGTTGAAGTAGATTTTCTAAAAAAAAAAAAATGATTCAAGTTTCCATGTCAAACCGAACCTGAAATGGACAAATGTCCAGGGAAGTTTTCTTCTTCTTAGCATTCGCTGGCTGTAAGCTCCAGTGGAATGTTCTGGATGTTCATCCACTTGTGGACTTTTCCATAACTTGTTTTGCATGAACATCTGTTTTACAAATCTGGTTTATTTGTTTGCCAACTGTGTGATACCTCACCACCCCTAAATGCATACTTCGAAGGAAACACCTGTTAGTCATCTTTTATGATATTTTTTTTGTTTGAAGGTTCTATTTCTATTCTCCACAAAATGGGGCCCCAGAACAAACATGGTGATCCTAAAAAGTATAGATGGCTAGCTGGCCTGATATTGACCACATCACCCGTACAGTGATGAGTGGTCTAGCCAAAGGCCTGAAAAGTTTCCATTGCTAACTTTTACTTTACATTTACACAGGAATTGGAAGTATGATAGTTTAGGAGTTATCACACTTGCTTTTCAAGACAGTGGTCTGAGTTCAGACGTCACTAGTACAATGATTTTTGTTTTGTTTTTCTGACCAGCATTCTTTAAAAAGGGCCAGAGTATTACTTCCCTAAAAACAAACTACGTCTGGGAAGCTCCACGCAGATACAGCCAAACGTTTATGCAGAAGTCTTTAGCAGTGGCTGAAACAACAGCAAAAATTCTTAGTCATAGAGTTGTTACACAATGACAGACACTATTTTTTGTTTTATCAAGATGGGATGTACCTTTCTCACTACCTTTTTTTTTTAACTACCTGACACTGTCCAAATATTCCTGAAATTATCCAGTGCTCTGTGACCTACCTAGTAAATGTGTAGGCATAGAAGTTACCACTTTAACAAGAATGTCTGCCATAATACCTGTAGCTTATGCATCTGTCTGTCTTCAGTGGTTGTCAAAAGTTAGATATTACATACATTCTAGTTACAGTGTTTGATAAAGAAAAACTTGTGTGTATTAGCTGATTATGTGGTCCATTAATCACATTCCTGCTCAGAAATCTGAAGGTATACACATTTGAAAACAATTGCAGCATTCAGATATGTTTAATTTTTTTTACACCAAATTTGTTAACACATTTTCTTCTTCTGAATCTCTAAGGCTCTTTGTGTTAAGCACAATTGTGTTTTGGTTTATTTTATCTCTGATGTTGCCTTGGTTCAAGACACTCATTTTATCCAAATCAAATAAGATAATTATTTATTTATATTTGTATCTGCTAGATATTTTAACAGGCAGCACTATAAATGTAGCATCTGTCAAGGTAGTACACATGTTTTTCTTTTAATTGTTAATATTGTGTCCCTTAGCGCATTTTCTTGATATTATCTCTTATTATTTTTGGCGGAATTATGTTATTTATCTACATCCCTTTTTAAACTTAAAATTTTGCAGTTATTACATTTTTTTACAGCTTCTCCATTAAAACTTTCATTCTAAAAGTCTAAATTCTTTCATGTTTGCGATAACATTTTTGCTTTTGGGTAAATCTGCTCTGCTATCTGTTTTACTGATGGATTCCGTGTGTAGTGATTGTTATATACATCATTAGTAACACCTCCTTTCACACACACACACATAATATTTTGTTTTTGTTCACCCTAAATTTCTTCTTCATTCTTTTCCAATGGAGCATAAATCCGAAATTTTGCCTAATTATATCCTTTGAAGTCGCATACATCTCACCTCAAGTCTTTTCTGTTTCCCCCCATTCACATTCTGTAATTCTCTTCGCTGTATGTTTGTAAGTCTGCCTTTATTCTGTTCACCCTGTAGGGTCTTGTGTTAAAAAAACATTCTTGTTCTATTATTAGGTTATCTCTGTGTGTGTCATCTAGCTACAGCATCTTTACTCCACCTCTTCATTCTCTCAAATATCTTCCTCTCCCAAAGCTGCACATTAGTGATTCTGCCATTCCATTATATTTATTTAAAAAAATCCCCACTGCATCTTACAGCCATGATTCTGCCTTGTTAAAAATGAGTTGAGCAGCTTACAATTAAGTTTCATCATTTTTTTCTTGTTCTTCCCTTTAGGAAGTAGGGCCAGTGCAAACTCTGTATTTAGATGACCTTGTATTTACACAAGGCAGTCATCTGATGGCCAACAAGCGATGCCAGTTGCCAGATGGATCATACAGGAAACAGAGAAAAGGTATGAAAGCTATCTTTCATTGCTTGCAATTGGAAGAGGTTGTTAATATGTTTCTTTAAAAAAAAAATGCGGTTAAAATATACTGATTAAGCATAGTTAAAGTTTCACATCCTCTACAGGGCTTTGCAATCCAACCCCAGCATTTTTTTTTTTTTACTGTTTTAAATTTTATATTCAGTATTTAACTATTGCTTCTTGCATGGTCAGTGCTTATACTATTGAAATCAACATAAAACTGTTTGCCGCTAAATTTAACCATAATATTTATCGTTTTGTTAAATTATAATTTACATTTTGGGATGATTATGGCATTTTGAATAATTTTTTTTTTTAATGGTTAGAGAAATAATTATTTATGTGCTTGATATATGATTCTCTTAAAAAGTGGAAGATTAATTTTCATGGTTGTAATCTGTTAAAACTGGTCTAGGTTTGCATGTAAAAGAGATTCAAAACATCCAATGTTTTTAACGTTAGCATATAGTTCATGGAGATTTCAAGTGTACAGAAATATATGTGACAGTAAAAATTCTTGGTTGCTGTTTTCATTTTGTTACTATCCTTTTTCAGTGTGGAACTGATGTGTTTTTTGTACATAATTATCATAACTTTGCTTTAAATAATTTTTTATGAGGTAAATTTATTAAAGAAGGAATTACGGGTATCTGTATATGTATATAAAATAGCTTAGTATCGCAAATATACAGTAGCCATATTTGGGGCAAGGAATTATACCTTCTGTATATTTGTGAAAAAAGAAGTACTGTTGCAGAGCTGAGTAATTGTTAACTGTTTTGGGGGAAGGATATTTACTCTTACTCTGTCCGTCAATCTCACAACTAACTACTGTTCATGTGGTGGCAGGATTTCATGCTTTCATGCCTGAATGGCTTTAGGGGTAAAGCAGCCTTCACACAGCTCACCAGAGATCCGCAGGCTTTAGCGACAAAAACCACAAGGGAGAAAGTATCCTGGTCACCGAGGACGTACACGAATAACTATAAAATATACGAAGAGTGAAAGAAGATGCTGAACATCTCAAAGTGAGATAACTTTCTACAACCAAAAAGTAAGGAGAAAACCACAATGCAGACATTTTTAATTTATTGACTGATCAGTTATTTAGTAATTTTTTTCTTTAAATGCAGGTTATGAAGAAGTGCATGTTCCAGCTTTAAAACCAAAGCCATTTGATAACAGTGAGGTAAGTCTTCATTGGTCAGAGAGAGTTCGCTAATGTTATCTAGTAGTTTTGGGGATACAGGGTTATTGCTAGATGTTTAGGTCCCTTTGCTGAAGTGAATGCATGTAAAATATGTTTACTGATTCTGTATAGTGTTGATGCAGTAGTATGTTGATCAAGTTAATATTAGTGCTTTCCAAACTTATGAGAGTGTGGTTGAACAAAAAGCTGATATATAGGGAAAAAAACTGAGTTTATGAAGCTTTCACCCTAAGCATGCTCCTTTAATCTAGGCTATATGCTTCTCAAGAAAATAAGACTGAATATATGGTTTATATTATACTTATAATTTTAGTTGTGTTAATCCTGCTTATTTTTACCTACTTTCTTTCACAGACCCTGGTGTCAATTGATCAGCTCCCCAAATATGCACAGGCTGCATTCAGTGGATTTAAAAGTTTGAATCGCATCCAGAGTAGGTTGTTCCATGCTGCCATTGAAACTGATCAGAACCTTCTTCTTTGTGCCCCAACTGTAAGTGTTTTTTTTTCCCCTTATTTTTTCCCCCTATTATTATTAATAATTGAATGATAAAGTGCTTACTCAGCGAATGTAATATTTTACAGTAGCAATAAACTGCTGGGGCACTGTAAGAAAAAACATATATAATGATACTGTACTTTGTATGCTGGCTTAAATGTGCTGTCATTGACAACTGACAGTTAACAGAAAACTGGTTAAAGGGTGTGCAGATATTGAGGTGATCACATTATCTTTTGTCAGTTTTAATAGATTTACTTAGCGTTTAGTTTTTTTACTCCAGAGGTCAATAATCTTTGCATGCTTTTGAAAGTTTTTGTACTCAGTTCTCTTCTCTTTTTGGCTTCTATTTCCTATCTGTCACCATCTATTATTAAATGCCTAAGATAGGAGAAACTTATAACCTGAAATATGAACATAAACTTTGCTATATCTTAATATAAAAGACCCTTTTCCACCCTTTTTGGCATATAGGGCTAGACCTATATTTTATAGACTCGATGGGTGATGTGATCATCATGCCGGCCACCTTTACTTTCCAGGATTTTACCCTGTACCCATTGCAGGCTGGCTTGATCTGAGAGGCAAGGTAATTTTCTAAGAAGGTCTGGCTCCGTCAGTACCTGAACCCAAGACTTTCAAATCTGCAGGCGATTGTCTAGCTGCTACACCGCTTAAAACTTGATATAATCATAATATATTATATGATGTAGTATACTATGTGTAAGTGTTGTGTCAGATGTTGATAATTTTATGTAATTTTTATAACAGGGTGCTGGTAAAACAAATGTGGCACTGCTGACAATAATGAGAGAGATTGGGAAACATGTCAACTCTGATGGAACCATCAATGCCGATGAGTTCAAAATTATTTACATTGCACCAATGAAGTCTCTAGCGCAGGAGATGGTTGGAAACTTCACAGAGGTAGAGTTGATTTGAGCACTTTCACATACAAGTCAAACGATTCAGATGACATCTACAGCATGTTTTATTGCAGTGATTTTAGTTTAAATGGTTTAAATGTGTATGCAAAAATGTACAATACCACATACAGTGCCGCACTTCTTTAAAAAAAATATCTTTTCCCGTAAGATGATGTTCACAGAAAAATATATCCTAATCACATTTAGCATAAGCTTCCTTCTCTAGAACTTAGTCACTTCCTGGACAGATCTTCCTATTATCTCGGCTCTCACCTTTGTAACGATGGCAGCTAAACCAAAGAGATCGGGACAAGGCTTGATATGGCAACAGCCGCCATGTTCCATCTGAATATGATGGGGAAGAGCAAAATCAGCATCACAGTTAAGGTCAACATATATACAAATCACTGGTATTGTCTATTTTCTTATACGGATGTGAGTTGGATTCTCGCTGTGAAAATGGAAAGGAGGATAAGCTTTTTAAATGTAAATGCTACAGACACATTTTAGGAATTAGTTATTTAGAACACAAAACTAACAGATATGTCAGAGACAGAATATACAGATTTGCAGGACATCAGAAACCTCTCTTGTCGATGGTGAAACGTCATAAGCTAGCTTTGTTCAGGCATGTGGTGAGGCATGATTTGATTGCAAAGACTGCTTCAAGGAACACTGGGGGACAGTCGAAGAAGGAGGGCAAAGAAGAAACCTGAAATGACATTAGGAAATGGACAGGACTAAGGTATCATACACTTATTCATCTGTGAGAGGACTGAGAAAGTTGGCAGGTTTTGTGTTTTAGTGCACCTCTACGACCCTAACGGGTTAAGGGTTATGTTAAGTGAAAAGGGGTTAAATATTTACGAGTAAGTAAAAATATTTACGAGTAAGTAACCATTTTCAAGGCCTTATGGCACATTTGGCGTATAGTGATAAAACTTTAGAACTATTGGCACTCGGCACCACGCTAACTGCCTTTACTTCCCTGGACATTAGCTGGTACCCATTTTAGGCTGGGTCAACCTGGGAACCAAGGTCACTTTGGAAACCAAAATTTAACCACATAGAGGATTTGAACCCTAGATCTTCAGGCCAGCATCTAGCCACTACACTACGGTGGCTTTCACTTATGAACTTCCACAGATTTGCAGGGCCTGCCTCTTGCGGTTTCCGCTGCATCTGAAAATATCTTAATAAATGTTCTTTGAGGTTTGTATGCATGGCAGAACCTTCTGAATTTTTATTACTGTATCTTAATGTAAATGTTCTTCAGGTGAGCATACATGGTGGAACTATCTGATTTGTTACTGCTGTATTTAAATATCTGCGCTCCTTCAGCGTTGCCATTTGTTGGAACTGTTCTGAGTTGCTGTGTTTGCTATATCTAACCATCAATGTTTTTTGGGTGTTTTTGTATATGATGTAACTATCTAACCCTCCTGATTTTGATGTAACTGTTTCTTTGAGGTTTTTATATATGATGTAATCATCTGACTTGCTGTTTTTAATGAATACATTCCTGACATCTACTCATGTGATTTCTGTGTTATAAATTCTAACCCTGTCTCTTGTCACATGAAGTATCCTTTACAAGCATTCTGTCTCAGTTGGGATTTTTCTTTTATCAGTGTTGCTTTCCAGTTGTGGTACTAGTTGCAAACTGAAAATATTTATTAAAAAAACACGGAACTTAAGTAAATTATTTAGCTTATTTAAAAAGACTCTTTTCATGTCACTGTTGCATTGGACAAATAGTATTAGACCTATACTTGTATAGACTGATTGTCACTGATTGGATGATGTGGTCAACATCACACCAACTGCACTTACTTTCACATTATTCAGTGTCAGTTATATAATAGTCATTTGTTTAAACACTCACTCAAACAGCGCTTGTCAGCTTATAACATCAAAGTGCAGGAGTTGACCGGTGATCACCAGCTGACCAGGGAACAGATAGCGGCCACACAGATCATTGTCTGCACTCCAGAAAAGTGGGACATCATCACCAGGAAGGGTGGGGAGAAAACCTATACCCAGTTTGTGAAGCTGATCATTTTTGTGAGTTTTGTGTTTTCAATAATTTCACTGATTTAAGTCATTAAATAATTTTATATTGTAATTTTATGCTCTGAATTTATTGACATTTTTTGAGTATATATCTACATAGATTAGTTGTATAATGTGAGCTATCATTCTTGTTACTGTCACAAGTTAGTTGCAGGTACTTCACAGGATGTTGCAAACTAACCCCAGCATCTGTGGCATCTTGCTGTTCAACATTCAATAATTTGTTGTTACCCCTAAATGGTTGATGCTTATATCATTGTTGAAATAAAAAAGCCATCTGCTATCAAATCAACCCTGTTATGTTTGAAATGTGAAACCACATTCATAAACCATGAGCCATAGATACAGACACCACAAGAAGTAAGACATTTTCAAGAACTGGCTCACTCTGAATCTGCAATCATGACTAGACTTCAATAGCTTCTTCTTCTTCTTCTTCTTCTTCACTTCCTCTTTTACAGCTGTGGGTGTCGAGGGAGATATAAGGTTCTGTTTCTAGCTCTTCTGGCTGCCTCGACCATAGGCACATCGTGCTGTTGTAGAGTTTCTCTGATGTTATCCTTCCATATTGTTCTTGGTCTACCCCATGCTCTACGACCTTCTTCTCTTTCCATGTATGCTTTGTATGGTATAGTGTCACAAGGCATTCTCTCTAAGTGGGCAAATCATTTCACTTGCTGTCTTTGTATGTAATCCAGAATTGGTTTTGTGCCGACTTGTTCTCTTATGATCTCATTCCTGATCTTATCTCTTATGGTCACTCCTACAGCCCTTCTCAGACATCTCATTTCCGAGGTTACTAATTTTCTTTTATGGTTTGTTGTGAGTGACCATGTCTGGCACTGGTAGCACAGAGTTGGAATAAATATGCTTTGAATAAGATGTCTCTTTGCGCTGATTGGGATTGTCTTATGCTGTAAGAGGGGGGCTAGCTGTCTCAATACTTGGTTTGCTTTACTGCATCTAATGTCAATTTCTTTATCCAATTTCCCATCTTTGGTAAATGTAGTTCCCAGAAATTTAAACTCAGATGCCTGTTTAATGCCTTTGTATTCTATTGCTATGTTTAGATCTGTCTTCTTTTTTCCTATTGACATTACTTCTGTCTTTTCAGTGTTGATTCTCATATTATTTGTTTTACATTCTTCATTCATGGATGTTAGATGTTGTTGCAATTTCATGGCTGTATCTGCTATCAAGGCCTGGTCATCTGCAAAGAGTAATTCGTTGATCTTACTAAGATCTTCATTCATGGGCTTGGCATTCTTGCATATACTGTCGATGTAGGTGATAAACAGCAGTGGTGATAAGACACACCCCTGTCTTACTCCAGATGTCACTGTGAAAGGATGAGATGTTCCCTGATTTATTCTAAGTACACTTCTACAATCCCTGTTAAAACGTTTGCACACTTCGATGAGGTGTTCGCTTACTCCATATCTTGCCATTATTTTCCATAATAATTGTCTGTCAATAGCAACATGTTAAAAAGTGTGTGGCAAGAGCAATATGCAGGAAGCCAAAAAAAAAAATAAGAAACCAACACAAAACTGTCATCAGCCAGTACACACTGCAGATTACCACAAGATTACAGAAACTGCTTTATAATGATATAATTATTACACATTTAGAAGCAATCCAGTATAATAATCATTTTCACCATGGCTGTTTTTATTCATTTTTATTTTCTGGCTCTCAGTTTGGAATACAAAGTCCACACGTCAATTTAGTATCTTCTGAAATCATGTTGTTTGCTTTTTAAAAGGATTTCATCTTCACTCGCACTTATACTCGGATGATTTGCTTTTAGTGAATACAACATATTCTCCCGAGTAAAAAAAAAAAGTTGCTTGAACAAATGCATACAATCAAGTTTGATCATGGGGTCCTGTGTAGGTATAATAGCAAGTGGATCATTATGGTCAGGGTTGAATTAGTGACCAGTGGATCTGACAGGCATCTTTGCTTAGAGGGGATGGGGGAGGAGAGGACAGATGGCTCTTTGTGTCATCTGCACAGGAGCACTTGGCCGGCTGATGAAAAATTTTGTTTGATAGAGAAGATTCAATTACCCCCACCCCCCCCCCCCCCTTCCCCAATTCCCCCCCCCCCCCCCCCCCCCCCCCCCCCTCACCAATGAATGCTTAAGTATGATAATAAAATTTCCTTTTGCAGGATGAGATCCACCTCCTTCATGATGATCGAGGCCCTGTGCTGGAGGCTCTTGTGGCCAGGTATAACTTGTCTGTGTGTGTGAATTTTATTTATAGTGGTGGCTTAGTGGTTTCTGTGCTTTTTTACCAAAGTAGTGGTTGGGGCTCCGTCCTCCATTGTGGCAGTAATGCCTCCTCCCCACCACCACTTTTGAAATGACTACTGCACAAACCACAGTTTTGGGGGGAAATTGTCGAGAAGATTCAGTTAAATGTTTGCTTTCTAATGCCATGACCTAAAATAGGGGACCAGTAAACAGCTCAAATGCAGTATCTGTAATTGGATAGTCTGTGTGTATTTAAAAAATGCAGAGTGTGTGTGTATACACATACATACCGTATGCACACACAACATATGTATGTGTTAATTTTTTTGCGCATTGCCGTAACAACATATATTTTTATTATTAGTATTTAAAACAGTATATTGCTTTCTCTGATACAGTATATTAATATTTTTCACTCTGAACTTATGCAGGACAATTCGCACTATTGAAACAACACAAGAGGACATCCGGCTGATTGGACTCAGTGCTACCCTACCCAACTATGAGGATGTTGCAGTGTTCTTGCGTGTGGATCCAAGAGAAGGTCTTTTCTTCTTCGATAATAGTTTCCGTCCTGTGCCACTGGAGCAGCAGTTCATTGGCATCACTGAAAAGAAGGCAATCAAACGGTTTCAGCTGATGAATGAAATCGTGTATGAAAAAGTCATTGAACATGCTGGCAAGAATCAGGTATCTTATGTTTTCCTCCCACAGCTGACTTCATACATTTTGCTGTACATATGTATATGATTGATTTACCTGCATGTGATTGAAAAGTGCTGTGCCCTGGAGTGAATAAATAGGGCACTAGAACAGAAAATAACTGCATGTGAAATGCGCTGACTCTGCAAGGTCACTAACAACACAAGAAAAGACAGGATAACAAATACCAGCATTAGAGAGAAAGTTGGAATATCCCCATGTGGGTTCTGGGGCTTTATTATAGGGAAAACAAGAATAGACTCATTGCCTACCAAAAAGCATGTTGTAAGAGTCAATGAATTGGGAGCTTTTTTCTAAGTTCATCTGCCTGATAGGCAAGGAACCAGCAGTCTACATAAAAATGAGTCAGATCTGTAAAACGAATGCACATGCAACACTCAGGTTGTGGAACAGGGCTGCAGTCCAAAAGTGGATGAACAACCAGAATTTTCCGCCAGAGTACAGAAAGTTGGAATAAGACCATGTCTTGATTATATTGACAGATAAAGAAAGAAATGGTTCGGCCATCTAGTGAGAATGCAGCTAGTGCAAACTGCATGTGAGACTTTTTACAGCAGAACTTTTGGGAGGAAGGCGTGAGAAAGAGATGGATAAATGGTATAGCCAAAACCTGCAAAAAGATAAACAAATCTATAACCTGAGAAGCGCAAGACAGATACAGAAAACCACAACTTTGGGCTACAACCCGGTATCCTTAAGACGACAGAAGAAAAAAGCTGTGATAATCTCAGAAAGTTAAAAAAAAAAAATTTAAAGTATATTTCAGCTTTACAGAATACGGTAAGCAAAGGCTATTACAGTAAAACGGCTTCGTCAGCAAACAAGAAGAAACAAAACACATTAAAAGAGAGAAAAAAATGATGGTTAACTCTTTCAGGACCACATTTTTTCTGGGGTTTGCGCAGCATTAATTTTGAGCGGAATTATTTTTGCTGCAACATAACAAAGCTAAAACCTTCCTGAAAAAAGTATTGGCTGTATCGGGCATACAACATTCAAGGAAGTTAGACACATATGAAGATTATTTGAGATTAAAAAATGTTGTGCTTACCTTACTTTTTTTAAAACTTTTCAACAACACTGCTATCTAATTCTAAGAATGCACATGCCTTCTCTGTTCAAATATGTATCAGCTAGTCTTTATTTGAAACAATTTAAATACTTTGGCTATTATGATCATTTTCGTATGACATGTCAAATTTCACAACAACCGAAAATCTGGAAAACACCTGATCAAAACATTGATCCAATTAAAATATTTTGTTCAGTTTTCAAATCCTAAATTAAATTATCACCAATAGGTTTGTCAGTTAGATATCAATCATAAAATCAAGACTGTTGTCACCATCTGGCAAATATTCATTAGCGACAGAGCAGTATGAACAGTTCTATACTTTTCCCCCTTATCATTTAGTAAAGGAAAATTACGTCAAAATTGTATCCCATCTAAATTTTTTTATATCAGAAAAAATGCACCGACCACGATGAACTTTGCAAACGAAAGGACTTTCTGTTGTTAATCACAATTGTTCATAAAAGTTTGTTTTTCCCACAAACTGAACCAAATTAGAATGTCTCTATCATACGCCAATATACTGGCATTTCGTCCATTAGCGATACATTTATTCGCCAGTATACTGGCGATACGTCTTTAAAGAGTTAAGTGGCTACAAATACAGTTCAAATATGTAACCAAATAAATTATGCAATGTGGGTACTGCAGTGTAATTACTTCAGTATCAGTTGTGTGTGTGTATGTGTGTTCTTTTGTTTCTTGATGGTTGCAGATGATCTTTTTGTTTGTCACAGCGGTATGATTTGTTTAAAGTTTTACGTTTTCCTGATATTTTTACATTTATCTTCTACTGAATTAGAAAAACTTTTACATTTAGTCTTTAAACAATTTTCAGTGATTTTCAATAGTGTGTGTGACTTCTATCGAAACAATTAAAGTGAACTAATAAATATAATTTAATGTTATTGATGCCTGCTACTACAATAATTTATTTTCATTACACAGGTGCTGATTTTTGTTCACTCACGGAAAGAAACAGGCAAAACAGCACGTACAATCAGGGACATGTGTCTGGAAAAAGATACACTTGGACTGTTTATGAAGGAAGGATCTGCCTCCACGATTGTTCTGAGACAAGAGGCTGAACAAGTCAAGGTCTGACAATTATCAGTGCTTTTATAAGGGCTTTTATGATTCACTAGCAGCTGTAGTGTGTTTGTTCCAGCACATGTGTGTGGGGGAGGGGGGGGGGTAATAATTAAGGCGCTTCTTTGATTTATTCCCCAAAATGGCGGCATGCCACATTCTGGCCATAAATATCCGAACGACGGTGTTCGCGTATGTCTAAAATACGGACTTTCTACCAACGAACAAATCGCGGCAAAACTAGGATTACTTGACAACTAATATCAACATTTGCACACGGTACTAGTAGCAGACGATAAATACCGACCGTATACAACAATTTCGAGCGTTTCTGCAGACGACGATACTAGCAGACGATATTAGCGACCGTTCACCAATTTCGAGACATTACAGACGATGAAAGCCGATTAGCAATACTGTGTTCTTCCGATTGGAGGATTTAGCAGCGGTAGATGTCAGACTTGTCGGCATGCGCCAAACGTGATTAAACTCATCGCCGAGCGTATCTAGGTGCCTGGGACTCACGAGTACAGTAACTGGAGGAAGTTGCAGGAGATGCGGTAGCTGCCACTCGTGAGTCCCAGCCATCTAGTTTAGCCCCCATCCGCGCCGTGCGCAGCGGCGCGGGGGATACGCTCGGCGGTGAGGCACACTCGCAGAAGCAGGTCGGCAAGCAACATATCACCCAGACCCTGTCAGCATTTGTTTCGTTATTCGGAGCCGGCACATATATTTTTAATTGAACTGACCCCGCATTTGGATATTTTATGGCCAGAAATTGGCCAATTTAGCTCCTTTTTGAACGCCATCATATTACAGCCGCCATTTTGGGGAACGATTCAAAGAAGCGCCATAATTAAAATATGTCCTGGCAATAAGCTTTGGTGGTCATGATTTGCCATATCACATAAATGCTAGAGTATCAGATCAGCCCTGCGGTTTTGTCCTAATGTATAATGTACTTGTGTTCACCCTAAAAAGCACATTTCTACAGTAAAAATGTGTTTTTCAGATTGCATTTTGTGTGGTGCTTCTGCATTCTTCCTGAAAAGGTCCTTTGGCATGTTGTGTCGGCAGACCCAATTGCAGCAGAATCCTAATTAGTCGCTTTTTATTTTATGACATGCTTATTAGGGACCATTTCTCTGCCCACCCTCCCCCTCTCAATAGGACTCTGGAACCAGCACAAAGAATACTGTCTCTCTTTATCATGCTTATAAGAGTAAAGACTTTGAAAAATTCAACACATAATTTCTCACTGCAGTTAATAACCGTTTTTGGATATGTTTTCCTTATTTCAAAGTGCATCTTTTCCTATAGCAGATTTTCTTTCAATCTCTCTGGGCATCATCCATCATGTTATGACAGACCAAAAAACAGCAGATCTATCAGAGTTTGAGTGGCGAAAATGGGGGGGGGGGGGTGGAATTGGGGACATGTTAATAAACGTTACATCGTTGTTTTTTTCCTGGAATATGATGCAGGCTTTTTGTGTGTGGAAAAAATACAGTAAATTGTATTTGCGTCCATATCTCTTTGATGTGTCATTATTAATTATTTTTATTTTCAGAGTACTGAACTCAAAGATTTACTTCCCTACGGCTTTGCCATTCATCATGCTGGCATGAACAAGTAAGTAGTTAGAAGTTATAAAATGTAAAGAGAAGAAACTTGAAATAAGTTTTGATATATATAAATAGAAAATGGCTGAAGGGATAGAATTCAGCCCTCACACTGTATGGAACTGGTCTTTAGTGGGGCAAATTGGCGTACAGGTGCAAAAGGTAATGAACGAGCTGATCAGCTGGCAACCACAGCACCAAGGCCAGCATTAAGATTAATGGATAGTTCAGATATCAGCACTGTGCAGAGTAGGCTAGTGGATAAAGGCAAATCTCTGACACTAGTACAATTGCGTGACTTGGGAGTAAGTAATGGTGGAGCATGTCATTGCCATCTTTGATGCCATGATAAGAGACATCATAACCACCTCCTCATGGGAAAAAATGGTAAATGTTTCTAGTGGGACGGCACAGTGTGCAGTGAAATCAATGGGGGTAACATAACAGGTTATCTATAGGAGACGGCATCTTTAAAAATTCCAGTTAGAATGTTGCATGATAACTGTTTGCTTAGATAATATTTAGTACTCAGAACTCTCTTTTGCAGACAAGAGCATGAGAATAGATTTTATTTCAAAATTGTTATATTTGGATAATTAAAAATTGCTTTTTTTTCCTCTTCAAATCAAGGGTTGATCGTAAACTGGTAGAAGACTTGTTCAGTGATCGCCACATTCAAGTCCTTGTGTCCACTTCTACTCTAGCCTGGGGTGTGAATTTGCCTGCACACACTGTCATCATTAAAGGGACACAGATCTACAGTCCAGAAAAGGGTCGTTGGGTTGAACTCAGTGCACTCGATGTGTTACAGGTAAAATCACTGTTATCCTAATATGTTTATTATGAATATTTAGTTTCATAAGTTTTAAAACTAGTTAAGTGTAAAAATTAAAAATTAGGATTTGATTTAAGTTTTCTCAGTTAGGCAGCCAGTTCATATTTGTGTTTTTGAAAAGTTGTACATTAACGTTAATGAAAAGTGAATAAGAGGAAAATTTCCTTGCATATAGGTTGCAATGAATTAAATATGCAGTGTATTTGCACACACTCAGGCAATATTGTGTTATATTTTCACATCCTAGGGTTGCATTATTTCAAAATTATGCACAATAAGTATACAAACAACATGTGAGATGAGATGTATGAGAAATGCAGTGAGAGAAACAAGAAGAGACAGAATCACCACTGCAGAATAAGAACAGTGGTAGGCACAGTACTAATGACTGATTTCATAGAACAAAGAATCACATGGTTTGGTCATCTGGGCAGAATGGAGCCAAATCAGCCAGCAGCTAGAGCGTACTAGATCAGAACAGCAGGCTGCAAGGTTAAATGCTAACTAAGAAAGAGATGGGTGGAGGGAGTGAAAGAGACACTACAGGAACGCAGTATGACATTAACTAAAGGTTACGAAGCTAGCAAAAGACGGAAAACTACATCTAGCCCCTCTTTGCAACACTTTACGGTGTAAGCAATAGAACACAAAAATGGGGACAAAATAAGAGGATAATGTTAGTGGTTTTTTTTTTTTAAACAAAACGTGTACTTCAGATTTACACATAAGTTAATAATGTGTGTTTGATCTTTGAGAATGTGATGTATACAGGATGTAAGATTATACATATTACGTTAATATGCTTGCACACTTTGAGTATACAATATCTCAAATTTGCAGATGCTGGGTAGAGCTGGCCGTCCACAGTATGATACCAAAGGAGAAGGTCTTATGATCACCAATCACAGTGAACTGCAGTATTATCTGTCTTTGATGAATCAACAGGTGAAGCTTTAAACAATCGGTTATTGCAGTCCTCTATTTTCTGGCTTTTATAGATTTCTTGATTCTAGATTTACTGGCATTGTGACCATTCTACTCGTAATCATATTCATTCAGTGTTTCTTTTGGGATGGCTCAAAAAGCTAGTTTTTCTGTGTATTTATAATCTAGTTTTCAGTAAGATTTTATTTTATCTAACCTTCTGTGGTTATTGGCAGCTTGTGATTTTAATGTGATTCTATGTCGGTGCTAACATGATAGTCATATTGTCATTTAAAAAAATATTGTATTGGCTGTATTGTTGACGGTCAAATTGCTGTAACCAAAATGCTTGTATGCTTTCTTTTTCGTCTGTCTGCATTCTCCCAGCCCCAGATTGTAACAAAAATGCTTGTGTGATTAATTTTTTCGTTTCTCTGCCTTCTTCCATCCCCAGATAACATCTTGACCTTTTCAGAATTGTGTGACCATTCATTTTACCTTTCTTCCCCCTGATATACTGGATACCCCATCTAGTTATATTGCATGGTTTATTTTCATGTTTGTTTGTAGTGGTTTTTCTTTATTGTGTTTACAGTTAACATGCATAAGACAGCCCAGATCAGCACAGAGAAACATCTCATACATACAAAGCATATTCATTTACACTATGCTACCAGTGCCAGGCATGGTCACTCTCAACTTGTAAAGACCAGGAATCACCAGGAGAGATAAAAATCAGGAATGAGGACATAAGAGAAAAACAGCACAGAACCAATTCTAAATAACATCAGCAAAGTCAGCAAATAAAATGTTTTGCCCACTTAGAATGCCTTCTGATGCCATTCCATACAAGGCATACACCAAAAGAGAAGCATGAAGAGCACAAGGTAGACCAAGAACAAGAGGGAAAGATAACAGAGAAACTCTACAACAGCATTATCTGTCTGTGGTTGAGGCACCAGGAAAGCAAGAAGCGAAACCTTATATCTCCCTCGACACCTGAAGCGGTAAAAGAAGTGAAGAAGAAGATGGTTTGCATGCAACCTAAAAGTTATAGCTTGTAGACAGAAAATACAATTTATCTAATTTATCTATTTCTAATTAGTTAATAAACTTTCTCTGACTTGAGAAGTATAGGGATAGTTTACTAAATCATCATCATCAAGGGCCTTGCCAGCTGGCATAGGCTTTTATGCAACTCCACAGATCTTGGTCTTTGGTATTTTGGATCAACTCCACTGATGATATTCCTCCATGCCACCGTCTTAAGCCATCCATCATCATTTCTCGTGGTTTGCCTTTGCCTCTTCTACCAGTGATCCTTTCCAGTCATCACAGTATTTTCCAGTGCTCCTTTTGTCATCACATGACCAAAGAACTTTGTTTGTCTCCTTCTCATTCTTGTATATAATGTTCTACTTTCGTTAGCTATTTTCAGAGTCATTGTAATTTCTGGCAGTCCAAGGTACTCTCAATAGTCTTCCCAAGAACCACATCTCTGTTACCTCCAAACTCTTCTTTATTTGTTTGCTCACATTCCAAGATTGACTGCCATACAACAGAACATGCTCGATAAAACATTTCAGTACTCATTTTCTGATGTTAAATGAGAGTGATTTATTGCATAAGATACTTTTCATCTTCTGTGAATGCTGCCGTTGCCTGGTCAGTTCTGCTCTTAATTTTTATCATACATCGCCCATCTGATGTTAATGAATGTTCCCAAATACTTGAATTTATTGACTTGGTTAAGCATTTTTCCTTCTTTTGCTAGTTACAATTTGGAGCTTTCTTCTTCTTTGGTATAACCATTGTTTCTGTTTTCTTGACATTCAAGGAAATGTTCTTTTTTGCACTCTCTAGTAGAACAATGCCTAATAGTTGTAGGTCTTCTACGTTTTCAGCTATTAATACTGTATCGTCTGCATAACGAAGATTATTTATATAATAACCTCCAGCTAGTATTCCTGGTCTATTCTTGATCTCTCTCATTATTTTTTAACTTTGGAGAGAGACAAGAAGTGGTGACAAAAGACATCCTTGTCTCACTGCTTGCTTTATCCGTTCATAACTGCCTACTGTATTTCCCAGTTTAATTGCTGCGTCTTGCTTCCAGTAAACATATTTTTTTTTTCTCCAAATTATGAGATCTTTTCCATCATTGTTAATATTCTCCAACAGTTTTATCATGTCATCATGTTTCACTTTATCAAAAGCTTTTGTGTAACCTTTGAAGCACAAATATATGTCTTTCTGTTTCTTCGCTGATCTTTCTACTAATGTTCGCAATGTGTATGTTTCATTATTTGAGTCTTTTCCTTCTACAAAACCATACTGCTCTTCACAATTTCTATTTTTATTTTCTTTCTTGTTATTCTCATGATGATTCTGAGTAATTTACTAAATTAATTTAAATTGATCACATGTTTTAACATTTAGTTCTGTTTTATCACAGCTGCCAATAGAGAGCCAGTTTATCTCAAAGCTAGCAGACAACCTGAATGCAGAAGTTGTGTTAGGGACAGTGCACAATGTCAAAGAGGCTGTGGATTGGTTAGGTAAGGAAATGTTAATAGAACAATCACAATTGTTTTCATTTCGTAAAACTGGGGATTTGCTTATATGTATTGTTATGCCTCAGTGTGAATTTGTGAAGGCCTAAATTGTAATGCCCTTATGGTAGCATTTATGAAACATTGGTGTTTCACAGCTCAATATAAAATATTTTAATCATAAGTAGTCTCATACTCAGTCACTAGAATTTGTGCCTCTTATTTCAGTGTACTTGATTACAGATTGGAACAGCTTACTTAATTAATCTTTATTCAGTATACTTGTCTGTTAGCTAGAAAAGAAAAAAAAATATCACTCATCATCACAAAGTGTTTAACATGGCATATCTGCTACATGGTCTGGGGATTACCTGTAACTGGTAATTTTAGTGTGGCGTTAGGCTTGATTGCTCCTGGAGTTGTTTCCACAAGCTTCACTTCTTTTCATCTAAATTTAATATATTTACTAACTTTACCAGGTTACACCTACCTGTACATACGAATGCTTCGCAATCCTACCTTGTATGGTGTATCCCATGATGCTCTAAAAGAGGACCCACTTCTGCAACAGAGAAGAAAGGACCTTGTGCATACAGCTGCCTGCTTGCTTGACAAAAATGGCCTGCTCAAATATGATAGAAAAACTGGACACTTTCTGGTAAATTTGTTCATCTGTTTTTTTTTTGTACATCATATGCTAGTGTAACCATTGATAAGATGCTTTAGTTTGTCCAACTCTTTAGTAGTTAAACAAGACACTAACACAGGCACCATTTATTTTTATTTAGAAATAATCATATCCACTAGTAAGATTGTGAAATTTATGTAGCTAAAAGAAAATTGTTTACTTTAAATGTAGTATTTTACTTGTAAACTATTCCCCACAAACCTCTGCATAAATCTTTCTTTCCTTTCCTTTTAGTGTTTGGTAATTTTGTTCATACTTATGTGAAAAAGTTAAGGCCGATGTGCTGTGCACCTCACCTTGAGTGCCAGCAGGCACAGTGACAGTTTACATGACCCCTGCGGCACATCTGTGCCATGTACGATAGATAATTGCCTGTATCAGCATAAACACAGTTGGTGGTCCCCAACTTTTGGAGTTGGTGACCTCCAGTGGGGCAGTGTTGAGCAAATATTTGGCACTCGTCAGCCTTCCTCCAAAGCACTTAGTGATAATGTCTATCCAAAACCCAAAAGGACCATAAGTAAAGCACACAGGCCACACTCCACCTAGATGACAAACGTTGGTTCAACTGTCTGTCGATCAAGAGTGCTACTAAATGGCAGCATCCTAATTGATGATACACAAGGTTTGCATTGGCCGCACACATTCATTTACGAGATAGAATTGAAGTTTTCTTTAAAGTCGGAGTGCATCTGCCCAAAAGTCAAGGAACAAGCAGGCTTCACACAAAAAAGCCAGCTCTGTAATGCAGACGCATACTGCAAAACTCACCTCCTAGAACAAGGCCAAAGCCCAGAGCTGGACCTACAACCAGGACTTTCTTCTGGGGTTTAGACTTGGTGAACTCAGTCTTCTGTTCACAAACATCTTCAGCCAACTCACACCTAGGCCTTTTTTTTATAGTCATTTGTGATTGGTTGGATGTTGTAGCCAGTCTCATCCCAACTTGTCTTAATTGTTCTTTTCATGTGCATGATTTTTCACAGTGTTGCTTATCTGAGCTTCCCTTTTGGGCCTTGGAAGCGCTGATCAAATAAAATGTAATTAATAAACATGTAACATTTATGTTACATATTGCTTTCAGTTTCACTTGAATTATTTTTGCGCTGGCCATCTTTACTTCCAAAGACTGTACCTGGTACCTACTCAAGGCTGGGTAAACCTGAGAGCTAAGGTCATATATATTTAAAAAAAAGTCCAACCTCGTCAGGATCCAAACCTATGACCATCCAATCTGCAGGCGAGCGTCTAGCCGCTACACCATGGTGGCTCCCTTAGCATTGATAACATGTTGTTACACATCGTTTACAGGACATTACAGAAACAACCCCAGCATTTTTTAGCTGTGGTGGTTTTTCTAGGCAAATTTTACGTTCAGTAGTTTGCCATTGCTTCTGAACCATCAGCGTTGAGTTCTGCTGTTGAAACCAACGCAAGACACATCATCTGCAGCTTGGATCGAACCTGGAACCCCGGTATTACTAAGCGAGGTCGAAACGCCTAAGCCACAGGCACTGACTCTTGTGAAAACTAATATGTTTCTCTACAGAGCTCCGAGCTGGGACGTATTGCCAGTCACTATTATATAACCAATGAGAGCATGGCAACATACAACCAGCTAATGAAGCCAACCCTGAGTGAAATTGAGCTGTTCAGAGTGTTCTCCTTGTCATCAGAGTTCAAGTACCTCACAGTTAGAGAGGTAAACATTCTTTCTAGTTAACAATCAATTTATTTCATGTTTAATCAGGTTTTGAACAAATTGGATAAAACTCCTTGTCTAGATCATATTTTGGTTGTTGTTATAAGACAGTTTTGATTTTACTTATGGTTTTCAACATCAGAACAGATTGAACATTGAATGTGACAGCATTTTAGTGTTTCTATTCTGTTTACTTAAACACATTTTCATGTCTACTGTCTGTATGTGTCCAGATGTATAAAATTAGTTTATTTGTTCTTTGTTATTTCATACACGCTGCAGGAGATTGCAGATTATGGAGAGGCATGTTCGCCCATGCCAGTCGGCAAGGCACCTGATGATGATAATGTTATTTCATACTTTTAATTTAGAACAAGAATAACTTTAACTTGAATATGAAAAAACCTCTGTGGTATTTCTTTTCATTGCTTTGTATTCATTACATTATAAACATATGTTGTTTAATTTAAGTTAAATGCTAATTCAAGTTAAATACTAAATATTTTTCACTTAGTAAAACAATTCATCAGTTGTATATAAACGTGGGGAAATGTTTGACGAAAATAAATATGAAAATATCAGACGACAGAATTTAAATTTTAGATTTCTTTCTGTCACATGGTTACTGTCTTGCTATTAGCTTTAAGAACAGTCAAGATGAACAGTAGTTAGTTAAATATTCTTATTTTTGGCGTTCACGGGCTGTAAACTCCAGTGGAAAGTTCTGGTTTTTCGTCCACTTCTGGACTGCAGTCCTGTTGCAGAACCTGATGTATTGTGTGTGAATTCGTTTGACTGATCTAATTTGTATGCAGACTGTTGGTTTCTTGCCTCTCAGGCAGATGCACTCCGACTTTGAAGGAAGCTTCCAATTATTCGACTCTTACGATATGCTTTTGGGTAGGCAGTGGGTCTATTTTTGTTTTCCGTATAATAGGGCCCTGGAACCCACACGGGGAGTCAGCTAAATTAAACTGAGAAACAGTTTGTATATTGTGGAAGTTAGACGCAGTTGTAGATTTAAGCAGTCAGAACTGTGTTTATCTGTTTTATTTTTTAGGAGGAAAAACTAGAACTCCTGAAGCTGTTAGAAAGGGTGCCTATTCCAATCAAAGAAAGCATTGAGGAACCAAGTGCCAAGGTAAGGCATATGTAGTCATATCTTAATGGGGCAATTGTCAACTAAATTGTGTCTAGATAAGTTTTAAAGATTTCACCATTCTCTGTGATAAGAGCTTGGCGTACAGTTAGCTGTAAACCACAACTCAACAGGCCAATTATCCTTTTGAGGACTAACATAGAAGAAATTTTATCATGTAGAACATGCTAATTAAGCAAAATTGGTTTTATTTTTTAAAAGTATGTTTAATCATTCTCTAGACCAAACAAAAAAATCTTCTGTGGGTAGTTTTTGATATAGTTTTTGATATAGTTTTCTATAACTGCTGTATTTGTTTTTTAAAACATGTAAAATAATACTGTAAAAAAAAAAAAAACAGCATAGTCACAGATGGCACTTTTTAAAAAATTAGTTGACGGGAAAGATACATATGTAAAAGAACTGTTGATGGGTTTAATGCAATTTGAATATTTTGACTCGTTAAATTACAAATATTTTGAATGTCAAAATTATGTTTCTTTTAGTAGCTTTTTGTTTTTAGTTTTTTGATAACATAGTTATGTTTGTTTCTATGCTATTATTTAATAAACTGGCATCCTTTAATCTTTTGATATTTAAATAATGCGAACACAATACATTGCACAGAATATTTCCTGACATATGTTGCTAGATTTTGTAGGTGCATTACTATAGTTTACATAGACATATAATGAACCACTTCTTTTAACTGAAATGCACAGATTAAATTGTCTCTTGTTCCACTATACATCTCATTTATTTTCTCTAAATAACAAGTTTCGTGGTTGGTTCTTTATAGGTGAACGTACTGCTCCAGGCCTACATATCACAGCTGAAACTGGATGGGTTTGCTTTGATGGTTGATATGGTCTACATCACCCAGTCTGCAGGCCGACTGATGAGAGCTATCTTTGAGATATGCTTGCATCACGGTTGGGCCCAGCTGGTTGACAAATCCCTTGCACTCTGTAAGATGGTTGACAAGCGAATGTAAGTCTTACAGGGTTCGTAGTGGGCCGGGAAATCGGGAAATTACCGGGATTTTTTTCGTTGACCTTGAACCGTGATTTTTAGCTTATAAAAGACATTCCGACCTTGAAAAGCTGTGAATTTTGACCTCGACAATGAAATGGTCAGAAATCCTGTGTTTTTCAGCACAGGCAATTTTGGGGGAGCCATTTGGCTTTTGTGGCCATTTGGCTAGTTTTTGGCTACTTTCGTTGTATGGTCGTTTCAGGTGTGAGGGCAGCTGATTTTTGGCTATTTTCAGCCGAAATGGCTTGTTAAAGGCCAGGGGAGGGCGGGCTGTGTTGCAGATCATGAATACATGCAGACAGCAGCGGTGTGGCATGGGGCGGGAAGTAGCTGCTTCCGTCTCGAGTGTGTGTGTGTGTGTGCCTTTGTTTCTAGCAAGTCCAGAATGAACAGTATAAATCGTTTATGGCCGTGGTTTCTAGAAAGGATTACATTGGGAGATGGTGGGGCTCGGTTCAGTTGTATTTATAAATAGAATCGCCGTGGTGGGGTACTAAGCACGGTTTTCTCTATTAATTAGAGATGGCATTGGGGCTAAGCAAAGTGACTGCAGCTGGATTTCCCAGTTCTATTTTTGGCCTGGATTTATCTTTACAGTCTGTTTGGCGATCAGTATTGTAATTCCCCGAGATTCCGTCTCCTGCATTGTCTCTAACCCTCCCTTCTGATCTTCATCTTCTTCTCTTTCTCTCTATCTTTCCTTTTACTCTCTCATTTCCTGTCCCCCCTCCCCCTTTTTCCTATTTTATTTCTTGTTTAAATGTTTAGTAAATGTGCGGCTCCATAACTCTTCCTAGCAACTCAAGTACACAGGAAGTTGTATTGGGGGGGGGGGGGGGGCATTCTGTGGGAACATGGTGGATATTTTCTTTTGATGTGTTTGTTTTGTCCTAGCGGCCTTAATCTCTGTCCATCTCCCTTCCCGCCCCCTCACATTTTGTCCTACCTGTTCCTCACTCTCTGCCTGTCTGTGTCACTGCTTTCCTCTCTCTCTCTCTTTCTCTTTGTATTTGCCACTCTCCCTCACTCCCTCCCTCTCTCTCTCTCTTTCTTTCTCCATACCTTCAGTTGGTGTAGAAGGTTATGTGTTGCCTAGTGCAGAACATTTCATGTTCAACAGCTCCCCCTCCCTCACACACACATTAAATATATGTGTACTTTTAAAAACACATTTGCCGTCACCCCCCCCCCCCCCCCTTTCTCCTCCCACATTGATGACACCTAGGGGAGGGAGTGCGCCCCTTCATGCTACCTTCTTCCCTCTATATCTCATCTTATTTCTCACTCCCTTCTTTCTCTCCCTGTCTCATTCCCACTTTATTTTCTTAAACTTTATTCTCTCACCTCCTCTGTCTCATCCTTACCACCTCAGCCTTCTACACCACTTTCCACCACCTCCTCTCTCCCCTCCTTTTTGTAATTGGAAAACCAGAAATAAAACGAAGTCCACTGCTGCCCTGACCTATTTATGTGTCTGACCTATTTATGTGTGTGGGTAAACTTCTCTATTTTCCACCAGTGGTGGGTTGGGATCCCCTGGACTTTTTTTTTCTTCATAAAATGACCTTGGCTCTCAGGTCACTAGCCTTAAGTGTAAGAAATTGAATTATTGTTGTCACACACAGATAGGGCAAGCAAGGGGCAGTAGGGGTTAGCACTGTTGTTTTTGGACCAGGCCACATTCACATTGGGAGAGGGTAGGAACCGGGAAAAGTGGCCTCACTTAGAGATTTCCTAATTCCATTTTTGGCACTCATTGTTCCTACACCCCCCCCCCCCCCACCCCCACCCCCACAACCGTGTCTTACCTCTCTTCTCCCACCTCTTCTCTTTCCTTTGATCTTCTACTATTCTCCTTTCTCTCTCCATTCTTCCTCTCTTCCTTTCCTTGCCCTTTCTCCTGTCCCATCTCTTCTTTGTCTCCTCTCCATCCTGTCTTTTCATTTTCTCTAGATTTCCTTACCCGCTCCCCTCTCTCATTCTCCCCCCCCCCCCACCTCCCATTTTTTAAACTAGTTCATCTTTGTATTTGTTTGCCCCATAACTATCTTTTCCTAGTGGTACACTACACTTGAAATTGTGTGTGTGGGGGGGGGGGGGGGGGGAAGTAGGTGGCTGTTTTTTTTCTTTGATGTATCTTGTCTCCCTTCCTGCCCCTCTCTCTTAATCTGTGTTTGTCACTGCCTTCCTTATCCACCTCTCTCTCTCTCTCTTGCTTTATGTCTGTTTGCCTCCCTTCATCACTTCCTCTTTGTATACCTCCCTCCCAATCTCCTGCTCTGCCTTTTTTCTCTTTCTTTGGTTCTCTCCCACTGTCTGCTTGCCTCTCTGTGCTGTCCCTTTGTCTCTCTCTCCTTTATGTCTACATCTCTCTCTGCTTGCATCTGCTTCTCACCCTGTCCGTTCTCTCTCCCTCTGTCTCCCTTCTTTCAACTCTTTGTCATATTTTCCTCCTTCCATATCTCTGTTTCGTTCCCTTTTTCCTTCTCTTTTCATCTGCCCATCTCTGTATCTGCATTCCCTCTTTCTGTATTTGTCTCCCTCTCTGTCTTTTGCTGTCCCTTCCCCACTTTTCCTCATCATGTCTCCATCCCTCCCTCTCATTTTTTCCTCCTTCCCCAGACTTCTTTTCCTTCTTTTCTCTACCTTCATCTGTCCATCTTTACACTGTCTCTCCCAGCCTACCTCAGCATGTGTCTTCCTCTCTCTTCATGACTCTCTCTCTCTCCCCCCTAACCCTCTCAGGTACCAGGTCCAGAACAGACAGGACTTCAGTTTGCTGCCCTCTACCACCAAGCCCTAAAAAAAAATTTCAAACACTATATCAAGCTCAGGGGCCGACCAACACGAAGATGGGCACAGGATATAAGTGACTCCTTGAGTATAAAAAAGTACATGAGGCGGGAGAGCTGGTGAGAGACCGAGGTTTTTTTGTCAGGACAAAGGAAATGCTACATGATGATGATATCTGTGCTGGTATACCAACACATGTGGCACAAATGAAGTACCTTGTGTGCTCAGTACACCCTTGAACAAGGCAAAAATCTTGTTTCAGTATTACACCGAGACAACCTTGAAAAAAACTAAGGAGACCTTGAAAAAGACCTTGAAAAGCCTTGAAATTGATTGGTAAATTTGGCTATGAACCCTGGTCTTAGCTTCCAGAATTAGCCTGAACACTGTCGGCTAAAAAAATGTTTTTTCTTTAAATGCACTAATATTGTAGGAAGCCGTTTGTAGGATTAAATATGCGCGTCATTAACTTTACAAATATAGCAATGTACATATTGATTCAGTCAATCTTTGAACTCTTATTACTCATTAGTTTGCTCAAATTATATGCGCTGTTGGACAGCAGCTAATCTTCATAATGGTTTGGTTTGAGTTAGAAGCTAAATCTTCAGTAATATTCTGTTTAAAATAATCATTGCGCGATATCCTTACAGATACCCACCTCCCACCTTCCACATGTAGTTGGCAATATTGAGGAAGAATGGAGTATATATAAAAACACTATGCTTAGTATTGCAGAAGAATTATGTGGAAAACGGAAGAGTGGAAACAGACGGGGAAATAACAAATATTCACCTTGGTGGTGCGAAGAAGTAAAAGAAGCAATTAAAAAGAAAAAAGACTTATATAAACAGTGGATAAAATCAAAGAAAGAAGAAGATTATATAAACTATAGACTGCAAAGGAGAGAAACCAACAGGAGTGTCAAGAAAGCAAAACAAGCATCCTGGGAACGTTTCGGTGAGTCACTAGCAGAAAATGAGAAAACAGCCAGCAGAAAATTTTTCAAAGTGGTTAAAAATATGCGGAAAAGAGATGAGAGCTACAACCCCACTGAAATAATTAATGATAAGACAGGAAGGCCACTGATAGATCCACCCGAGATTGCAGAAAGATGGAGGGAATACTTCAATGAGCTCTTTAATCCTCTAGGAGATCATCAGGAAAGAACAACTGAAGAGCACAGAGCAACAGTTTTAATGGATGAAATAGAAAAAGTCATTAAACAGTCTCCCAAATATAAAGCACCAGGAGCTGATAGATTACCAACAGAAATAATCAAGCAGCAGGTGAAAGCAGCATCAGATGGCTTCACAGAATATTCAATGCAGCATGGGTACAACAAACGGCCCCTATTGATTGGCAACATGCAATAGTTATACCATTGTGGAAGAACAAAGGAAGCAAACGAGAATGCGGTCAATATCGAGGCATCTCTCTTTTAAGCCATGTTGGCAAAATGTATGCCAAGATAATAGAAACAAGACTGAGACCAGTGATAGGACCACAGCTGGCAGAAGAACAGATGGGATTTAGGAGAAATAGAAGCTGCACAGATGCAATCTTCACACTTAAACAGTTAATAGAAAAGAACATTGAATACAATAAGAACTTATTTGTGGCATTCGTAGACCAGGAGAAGGCATTTGACAGAGTCGACAGACAATTATTATGGAAAATAATGGCAAGATATGGAGTAAGCGAACACCTCATCGAAGTGTGCAAAAGTTTATACAGGGATTGTAGAAGTGTAGTTAGAATAAATCAGGGAACGTCTCATCCTTTCACAGTGACATCTGGAGTAAGACAGGGGTGTGTCTTATCAACACTGCTGTTTATCACCTACATCGACAGTATATGCAAGAATGCCAAGCCCATGAATGAAGATCTTAGTAAGATCAACGAATTACTCTTTGCAGATGACCAGGCCTTGATAGCAGATACAGCCATGAAATTGCAACAACATCTAACATCCATGAATGAAGAATGTAAAACAAATAATATGAGAATCAACACTGAAAAGACAGAAGTAATGTCAATAGGAAAAAAGAAGACAGATCTAAACATAGCAATAGAATACAAAGGCACTAAACAGGCATCTGAGTTTAAATATCTGGGAACTACATTTACCGAAGATGGGAAATTGGATAAAGAAATTGACATTAGATGCAGTAAAGCAAACCAAGTATTGGGACAGCTAGCCCCCCTCTTACAGCATAAGACAATCCCAATCAGCACAAAGAGACATCTTATTCAAAGCATATTTATTCCAACTCTGTGCTACCAATGCCAGACATGGTCACTCACAACAAACCATAAAAGAAAATTAGTAACCACGGAAATGAGATGTCTGAGAAGGGCTGTAGGAGTGACCATAAGAGATAAGATCAGAAATGAGATCATAAGAGAACAGGTCGGCACAGAACCAATTCTGGATTACATACAAAGACAGCAAGTGAAATGGTTTGCCCACTTAGAGAGAATGCCTTGTGACACCATACCATACAAAGCGTACATGGGAAGAGAAGAAGGACGTAGAGCACGGGGTAGACCAAGAACAAGATGGAAGGATAACATCAGAGAAACTCTACAACAGTACGATGTGCCTATGGTCGAGGCAGCCAGAAGAGCTAGAAACAGAACCTTATATCTCCCTCGACACCCACAGCGGTAAAAGAGGAAGTGAAGAAGAAGAAGAACCAGCTTATGTGTTGCAGGATATTAATTTAGAAATGAATTAGCATCGAGTTATCTATTATTATTTTTTTTTTAATTATTGCAGTTTAAAAAGAAATAGTATTTTTTCCAGGTGATTTAGTAGTGGAAAAAATAGTCCACATTCTGTAGGTTCATCATGAGAAAAGGAAGATGTGACCATGGAAAAAAAGGAAAACAAGTTGGAGAAAATACTAGATGATTTGGCATTATGGCATAAAGAATGTTTGTATCAAATGTTTAACAGTATACATGACAGAAGGCTGTTGACAGGCATGTTTAGTAATGCCACACGGCATGAACTAAAAGAAGAAGATCCAGTTGACTCTACTATCCATATTTGTATTAAACTTGTAAATTCCAGGGCCCCATTTTGGGCAGGGGCAAAAGAATAGACTCACTGCTCTTTCACAAGGTGATTGAATAAAGATGAAATCAGATGTGTTGGGCTGAATAATGCTAGACATCACAGCCTAGCTGGAAACCACCATTTTAAGGTTGAATGCAGAAAAAAAGGAGACATTTCCCCCAGAAAATTGGATAGCTGCATGCATAGGGAAGAAACAGGGGTGACTGCTGTCAAGCTTATAGCCAGAAATTGATCCAATTAACTCTGACTAAAAAACTTAACGAAAAGGGGGGAAGAGGAACAACAAACTCACAAGACAAAATGAGCTGAGTTATACAGTGTCTAGAAAGGCCCCAGCCGAAACATTGTCTTGTGTGTACGTTATTCCACTTCCCATTTTTGTGAAGCTTTTTTTTAAAGTCACATTTGATCGGATTAATTTCTTTGCTTAGGGAAAACGTGAAGAAAATCTGTGTTTAAATAATTCAGAAATATTATATTTAGCATCTTGAAAGGTAGCATTTGCTTTGGAATATGATTTCTCAAAGTGTAAGTTTAAAAGCAGTGTTAATTTAATTGATTATTGTTTTCTGTTCATGCTCAGGTGGCAGTCAATGACACCTTTGAGACAGTTCAGGAAAATCCCAGAGCAGGTCATAAAGAAAATTGAGAAGAAGAATCTCCCATTTGAAAGATTGTATGACCTGAATCACAATGAAATAGGAGAGTTGCTGCGCTTGCCAAAAATGGGAAAGGTAACTTATGTGTACTGTTAAAATTTGTTAGCAGATGGGTAAATAATTTTAAATGATAAGCTAGCACTAACAGCCGTAATGGTTAGTGTATTAACTTATCCTGTATTAACTTATTAACATTGCTCTATTTTGAATCCCGGGTAACAGCTGAAAATTCCATCTATTTAAATCAGTGGTTTCCAGTTAGCCAAAACCTGTGGACCTCTTATTTTTAAAGGTCTGCTAATGCCCTCATAATTTTTAATAGTCATACTGCAAGAACTTACAATTTATAAATTTTAGAATCACCAAAAAATGATTGCAGTCTAAAGTTGAGGAATTTTGTGTGTGTGTCAATGATAACACAGACCCCTTTAATTTGTTCTCCATGGACCACCAATTAGAAACATAATTATTTTCATGTTTTACTGGGAGTACAAAGTAATTACTTCACAGGAACTAATTGTAATCACAATAAAGGTTCTGTAAGAAAAGGCAGCTATTATTAAGTAGAACTCCAATGGTTGCAGAAACCTAGAACAAAAACAATCCTAATTAATGACTTCTGTATTTGTGTTCTGCAGCCCATTCATAAGTACATCCGCCAGTTTCCACGACTGGAGCTCTCTGTACATATCCAGCCCATCACAAGATCCACTCTGAAAGTGGAGCTGACCGTCACTCCTGACTTCCAGTGGGAGGAGAAGTTGCATGGAAATTCTGAGGTAAAACATGCAGTAACATTTGAGTCAGTAAACAGATTTACTGGAAATTAAGATACATACATAAATATCAATGGATTATGCTTTTTTACTTGGGCATTTTCTAGATATAGAGGTAAATGCAGTGTTTTGAACCTAAGTTTATATGAATGTAGTTATGTGATGTAACAAGAGCAATTTATTGAATTTTCTAAAAAGGAAGCAAATCCTCTTTTAACAACGTGAGCTCATTCATACTGTTTTTTCATATAAAATGTAAATAGGATTGTAATTATATTTTATAAAATTATAATGAATCATGAAGAAGCAGCATAAATAATGAATTAGTTCTGTTGGGCAGCTTTCCTGTTAGTCTACCCTGTCTGGCGTGTCTTTTATCTTTTTATTTTCTTCGAGCATGCACCAGCTGTAAACTCCGTCAGAAAGTGCTGATTGTTTGTCTACTTCTGGATTTTAGTCTTGTTCCGGGACTTGAATTTTGCATGCACATCCATTTTACATGTCTGGCTTACTGAATGCAGACAGTTTGTTCCTGGCCTTTCAGGCAGTTGTGCTTTGACTTGGGAGGGAAAGTCCCTAATTAGTCACCTTTAATGACCTGCTTATTGGGGAAGCAGTGGGTCTATTTTTTCCCCTATAATGGAGTCCTCTGACTTTTGCAGGGAGTGTGTCTTTATGATAAACAAAGATTGGAACATAGATTTGAGATATACGGGTGGAAAGAGTTAAGAGAGGGTGGACTATGGTATATAGTCTGTATATAGATTATGTAGGATATACAGGTGGAAAGAGTTTAGAGAGGGTGGACTACAGTATATAGTCTGTAAATAGATTATATAGGCGGACTATACTCGCCTGTATACCATACATTCATTTCATTGGTGAGATTTGCAACTTAACAAGAGCTTCTGGATTGTAGGAAATGTTTATGTTCACAGGCCTTCTGGATTCTGGTTGAAGATGTGGACAGTGAAGCTATCCTGCATCATGAATACTTCCTTCTTAAAAGGTAAAAAAAAAATTTCATTGCCATGAATTTTTTCCAAGACATAGTTAATTATATCTGTAGATGTTTTAATTTAAACATTTTAAGCACTTTTCCCTGATCATTATAATTAAATAGAAAAAAAAATGTTGAAAACTGAATAAGCCTTGAGAAAGTCGCAAGACCTTTAAAAAAAACTTGAGGAAGTCTTGAAAAGGGCAGACAGTCATGACATTTTCTTAACTGTGAAATCCAAAAAGAATGAAGAGCTAAGAACCATGGCTGTTTGTCGATTTCAACATGAGTGCCATGATAATCCAGATGAAAACATTGCCTGCCACTTAGAAGAAAGTGGGAGCCACCATGGTGTGTTGGAACAGTGCTGGACTTCTTCAAAAATGACCTTGGCTCTCACTTCAACTGAGCCTTAAATGGGTAGCAGGTAAAGTCATAGGAAGTGAAGACGGGTGGCCTGATGCTGACCACATCACCAAGCAAGTGCTGATTGCTCTATAAAATGTAGGTCTATATCTATACACCCAACAGAAAAAGGGTCCTTAATTTTACTTTACTTAGAAAAAGTGTGAAAATAGCAGTAACTGCAAGGTTCTTCTTGGGTGTGACCAGAAATCAGGTTATATGTTAGAAGTTAAATTGCACTTTTGATGTTCATTTAAATGTATTAATATAAGACAATTTGTTTCCAGCAAATTTGCCACAGATGAACATGTTGTGAAGTTCTTTGTGCCAGTGTTTGAACCGCTTCCACCCCAGTATTTTATCAGAGTTGTGTCTGACAGATGGATTGGTGAGTGTTACTTGTATTTTATTTAAAAGTTATTGAAGAATAAGTAAAATAATTTGAATGTTTATACTTGTATGGGTATGGCTGTCTTGTTTGTTAAAGTGCTTTTTTTCAATAGTAACATGATTTAAAGGTGGCAAATATCAGTTTATTTGGACTAACAATAAGCAAAAACTTGTGGGAAGAAACATGAGTTATCTTCTCCCTGATTTGATTATAGATCCTTTGATCCTCATGTTATAAATAAATTAGTAACTGTTTTGACAAGAAGGACTTTAAACTGGAACCCACAAGGGCGCAGAAATAAAGGTAGACCAAAACACACATGGAGAAGGCAACTAGAGAGTAAAATTTAAAAGCTGAGAAGACTTGAGGTGAGCTACATACGATAGTAAAGAATAGGGTGTGAGTTGGTTTTAGGCCAATTCTCCGTTGGGGAATAAAGGGCAGAAGAAAAAGATATAACAACTGTTATGCTTCAGGTTAGGTTTTGTGTTGGATATCCAGTATTGTAGCTTTAGTGCTTTTAAAACATCACATTCTGTTGACATAGTTTTGAAATTAAAATAGTTGTGCGTATTATTGCTTTTATTTTAAACAGATATTTTTCCTTACAGGGACAGAAACACAACTGCCTGTATCGTTCCGGCATTTAATCTTACCTGAGCGTTACCCCCCACCCACTGAGTTGTTGGATCTGCAGCCTCTGCCTATCTCTGCCTTACGTAATCCAAAATTTGAAGCTCTTTACAGCAAGAAGTTTCCCATCTTTAATCCCATTCAGACACAGGGTAAGTATAATTTCTAACTATTGTGATACTTGACTGTGGCATTTTTAGTTTAAATGGTATGTTGAAATAAGAATCAACATCATAGCACTTGGAATGCTCCCATAAGTGCTGCATCTCCATCTTCAGCAGCAAATGAAGAGTTCCAGTTCCGATGGTACCAGTAACTATCTGATTGTACGTCCTTTCCCTTGAGTGTTAAGCTCAAATTTAAATAGTTTAATTGTAAGATGTGATAATTATATTGTTTTTATTAAAATGATGTCTTGATTAATGTTTGTATGTTCCATTTGATGAGCAGCAAAATTGGATAACTTTTGTCTTCATATAAAGCTAGGTATTTTTTTTTTAAATTTGTTTAGCCAAATAATGTGTCCTTCATTGTTGTTAAAATACTTTTAGAAGTTTATAGTTTGCACTAAGAGAAGTAATCATTCTATATAAAGAAGCAGCTGTATTTGAGTACATTTATTTGTCAGTTATAAGCATAATATTATATATTTAAATGCCTAATAGTTACTAAATTATACATAACATTTGTGTTTAAAAAAACAAACAACTAATAATGAATTAAAAGAAGCTGATTCTGAAACTTTAATTACATTCGGTAAATTTTGTTGGAAAAAAAAAGTGTGCCTGACAGATTTTCATTTCCACATCAGTCTTCAATGCAACCTACAACAGTGATGACAATGTCTTTATTGGAGCTCCAACTGGAAGTGGAAAGACGATCTGTGCGGAGTTTGCTGTGCTGAGAATGTTCTCTCAGAACGCAGAGGGGAGATGTGTATATATAGCACCCCTGGATGCTCTTGCACAGCAGGTAATTCAATCTTTAGCATTCTTAGACTCAGTTTAGTTTGTTTCATTTTGAAATATGTCAGCACTTCAAACACAGCAGTTGGATTCTGTGCCCATAAATAATATTGTATTTTCCATTTTGGGTTCAGAGCCCCATTTTTAGTGGAGAAAAAAAAGAATCAATCCACTGTCATATTAATTAGGGGTTTCCTTCAAATTTGGAGTGCACCTGCTTGAGAGGTGAGGAATCAACAGTCTGCAGACAACTAAGCCAGATTTGTAAAATGGATGTGCATGCAAAACACATGTTCTGAAACAAGTCCAAAAGTGGACAAACAGTCGGAACTTTTCTGCCGGAGTTTACAGCCGGGGAACATTAGAAATAGAAGATAATGTATTATTCACTAGTGAACATATTACCTATATTCGCGTACCTGTTAAACACATAATTTCTTGATTTCTTTGTCCACAAATATAGTATTGTTTACAAATAATCTATGTTGTTTTAATATGCTTATTCACTTTTTTTCTCTAGATATACAATGACTGGCACAGCAAGTTTGCAGTAGCTCTTGGAAAGAAAGTTGTTATTCTCACAGGAGAAACAGGAACTGATTTGAAGCTTCTTGCAAAAGTAATTTATATTTCTTAAAGTAAAATAAAGTTATGTGTTTATGGAACATGTTAAACAGCTCTATAGTTTCTGGACAGTAATAGCAGTTTGTAGTTATACATTAACTCTAATTCTGTTTTGTAGTTATACATTAACTCTAATTAAGTTTTGTAGTTATACATTAACTCTAATTCTGTTTTGTAGTTATACATTAACTCTAATTCTGTTTTGTAGTTACATACATTAACTCTAATTCTGTTTTGTAGTTATACATTAACTCTAATTCTGTTTTGTAGTTATACATTAACTCTAATTCTGTTTTGTAGTTATACATTAACTCTAATTCTGTTTTGTAGTTATACATTAACTCTAATTCTGTTTTGTAGTTATACATTAACTCTAATTCTGTTTTGTAGTTATACATTAACTCTTATTCTGTTTTGTAGTTATACATTAACTCTAATTCTGTTTTGTAGTTATACATTAACTCTAATTCTGTTTTGTAGTTATACATTAACTCTAATTCTGTTTTGTAGTTATACATTAACTCTAATTCTGTTTTGTAGTTATACATTAACTCTAATTCTGTTTTGTAGTTATACATTAACTCTAATTCTGTTTTGCAGTTATACATTAACTCTAATTCTGTTTTGTAGTTATACATTAACTCTAATGTTGTTTTGTAGTTATACATTAACTCTAATTCTCTTTTGTAGTTATACATTAACTTTAATCCTCTTTTGTAGTTATACATTAACTCTAATAATTCTGTTTTGAAGTTATACATTAACTCTAATTCTGTTTTGTAGTTATACATTAACTCTAATTCTGTTATCAACAGTTTCATTTCTATTTAATCTACACAATTGTAGTTGTGAATTTTCTTCTTCTTCTTTTGTCAAAATCTGCTTATGCCGCTAGGCGCCGCAGTCTATCAGATGATCAGCAGCCGAGGGCGCTCAGTCGCTTCATATGCCGTGATGTTATGAAGTCTCAAGTTGTCCGTGACTCCTTCAAGGAGTGAATTTTTTGGACTGTGCTTAATTGCTATCACAGTGTTAATAAGTTATCTTTTTTTTCCAGCTAGTTGACAGTCTTTTGTTTGTGTTTTGTTGAAGCATTGCATTTAAATTTTATATTTTGGTTATTTTTATTTCATAGGGCAACATAGTGATCAGCACACCAGACAAGTGGGATGTCTTATCCAGGCGATGGAAACAGAGAAAAAATGTTCAAAATATCAACCTGTTCATTGTGGATGAACTGCACCTCATTGGAGGAGAGATGGGGGTAAGGAATATTCCTTTATTAATTTTATTTAATTGATACTGATGCCGTAATTAGCTGTCTGTTGTTGGTCAAATCATTAACGTGTCTTTGAAATTTACATAGACAAATGCTAAGCTGTCAATACAGCATTAGTTTTTTTTTAACCTCTTGGAGACATTAATGTGTACCCAATGAATGTATACTCAAAAGACCATGAATGACAGCATTGTACTTTCTACTGAAGCATAAACGCCTGCGTTGGTTGGGTCATGTCTCTCGCTTGAAGGTTGGTCGCATTCCATACTATCTCCTGTATGGTGAGCTGGTGACAGGAATAAGACCCGCAGGAAGGCCAAGGCTACGCTATAAGGACACATACAAACATGACCTGAAAGATATCAGCATTGACACAGAGACTTAAGAGAGATCAGCTGCAAACCGGCTCCTTTGGGGGCAGGCAGTGAAAGGTGGAAAGAGGCCAGATGCAGCAATCTATGTGGACTATGTGGCAGAGACTGCCACTCCCTCATCGGACTTTACAGTTACAGCAGACACTGTTTTCAAAACCAGCGGCATAACTCCATGGTCCCCAGGGACTGATTGTTGCCTGCTGCTGCTGCTGTTCAGAGGCATAATTTTCACAACAAGCATGCATTTTTCCTTTTGAATTTCACCAGGATAGGCATGTACAGAGTTTGTCTTTCTCTCTGTGAATGCTTTTGTACATTGTAATATTATATCAGTTGATTTCAGATGGGTTGTAATCATTTTTTTTTTTTTTTAAATTTCAGCCTGTGCTGGAGGTGATCTGCTCTCGAATGCGGTACATCTCTTCTCAGCTTGAAAGAAACATTCGTATTGTTGCACTGAGCTCCTCGCTGTCCAATGCCAAAGACATAGCACAGTGGCTTGGATGTCCAACTTCAGCTTTCTTTAACTTCCATCCCAACGTTAGGCCAGTACCACTTGAGCTCCATATCCAGGTTAGGATAACTGAAAAGCATGTTTTTCTTTCTTTTATTGAAACATAATGTCATGGAGTGTAGATGAGATAGAAGTAAAGAGAAGCATAGGTGACGCATGCAGATAAATTAAAGTATTGGTAAACCGCCTATGAAACATAAAAGTAATATGTGGTCAGTAGAATGTATTTACATGAGTGCAATAAGATACGGTTAGCACAGCCAGCAACCATCATCATCATTATGTAGCAGACTTGTGCAGGATATCACTTTTATGAATGGCCTGCCAGAAAGGCAGATGTTACAGATACATGAAGAAGAGAAAGAAAGAACTTGGAATTAAATTGTGTTTAACAGCTTAGTTTTATACTTTGTTTGTCTGGCTTCCTAGTGAAATTGGGCATTACTTGTTGATACTGCCAGAACAGCACTCATTGTAATTTCAAGACCCAGAGGATAAATTATGGGTCCAAATAGAATAAATATATCATTGTTTACAATATAAACAAATAAAAAAAATCTAATGAAGTCAAGTTCTTATGTTTTTTTTTCTTTCTAAGATGTTAGTTTTAACACCGGGTATCGAGTGGGGAAAATAAAGACATTTAGGCCTTCCATATATGTCCCAGGGGTGGACTGTCACAGATTATGGCTGATGTTGGGCACACACTGAAAAAACTGAATATCAGTCATCTGAATCTTGAATGGCTGTGAAGCTGCTTGGTCTTGGAATTTGAGCAAAAGCTATCTGCAGTTAGAAATAAATTAGGTCAGTAAAGTAATATTTTTGTAATTGATTCTTTCTAACCAGGGATTCAACGTGTCACACAATGCTTCTCGTATCATAGCAATGGCAAAACCAACTTACCAGGCTATTATGAAACATTCCCCCAAAAAGCCAGTAATCATCTTTGTTCCGTCTCGCAAACAAACCAAGTTGACAGCCATTGATATCCTGACATGTGCAGCAGCAGAGATGCAGATCAGCAGTGATGACAAGCCTCACAGCAGGTTCCTGCATGTGCCCGAGGATGATCTCAAACCATTCCTGGAGAAAATCAAGGATTTGGTTAGTATCAATCAGTCACTGTGCCAAATGTTTTGTCTGCTGTTTACAGTATATCTTACAAAGGTCAGCTGTGAAGCTTCTTGAACTTTCTGTCACTTTTTGATAGCAGATTCCCCTTGTGGGTTCCGGAACACCATTTTGGGGTAATAAAAATAGACCCTTTGCCGCTATAACAAGCATGTCTCTAAAAGTCACCTAGTTTGGGATGTTTCCGAGTGAATCTGCCTCAGAGGCAAGAAACCAGCAGTTCTTCTTACAAATAAGCTAGATCTGTAAAATGGATGTGGGCTCAAAACTCAGATTTTTTAGCAAGACTAAAATTCAGAAGTGAACGAACAATCAGAACTTTCCGCTGGTGTTTCCAGTCAGTGAACACGAAGAAGAAAAAGAGAGATAGCATACATTTTTTCTGTGTGGAAGCTCACTCTCATCATGATCCTTTGGAAATTCAGTCTTCAGCCACTTCCTTTTCCATACAAACTTTCTCACACAAGGTGTCTTTTAATCCCTGTGTTCACATTTGAGCTGGTTGACCTTTGCCTCCCTTCCAGAAATCATGTTACTGTTGTTACTAAACCAGTCTGATATTTAATATAGCGTAATAAATTCACTTCAGAGGTTCTTTTCTGTATGTCTGTGTTACACTGACCATTTGAGCTGGTTGACCTTTGCCTCCCTTCCAGAAATCATGTTACTGTTGTTACTAAACCAGTCTTATATTTAATATAACGTTACAGTCTCACTTCAGAGGTTCTTTTCTGTATGTCTGTGTTACACTGACCATTAGTGTAGCTTACATGTGACTGGCTTGATTTGTTTGTTATATTAAAACCTTATAAGGAATACTGCTGTTTGTTTGAGCTTTCATGGAAAATATATTAAGTTTACGAGTAGTTAAACTTGTAATTAGAATTATTAAATTTGTTTTATTCCATCACTTTGTTTTGTATATGTATGTGTGTTAAAAAAGAATTTTTTTTTTAAGTATGCACAACACGTTAACTTGCATACATGCTTAAAGACAAAGAAAATTATACCTAATACCTGGTGCAATCTTGAAAGGACTAAATTACTTCAAGAAAGTTGTGAAAATCCTAATGAAAATATTATGTAAACTTTGCTGAGATCCTGTAATAATCTGTTATCTAGGAATTTAAAAAAGTTCTGGATATAGACTGAAGAGCTGTACCATATTAGCTTCTTATTGCAGTTCAGTGAATAAAGAATTGTCGATAGTGAACAGACAGTGTGGATGTAGCCAGTACACCTGCATCTGAACATGATCTGTACAACTTACGACCATCCGCAAATGCAACAACAAAATAAATAAATAAAAATGGTAAATAAAGAAAGATAACTACATTGACAGGGTCAAAAAGTTCCTGGATTTGATGCAGTAGAGTACACATATATTTTTCACAGTCGGTGCAATAATTATTTGAATGTACATTAAATTTTTGTTTTATGTACAATTTTTTTTTAACCGGTTAAATAAAAAAATAGTGTCGAAAAATATCAATTTGACTTCGACCTGTTGAAGTCGCCGTGATAGAGCTGCTAGATGCTCGCCGTGGATCATAAGGTCGTGGGTTCGCTCCCTGGCGGAGCAAGAATTTTTTTTTAAATGACCTTATCTCCCAGGTCGACCCAGCTTTGAGTGGGTACCGGGGGCAGTCCCGGGAAGTAAAGGCGGCCGGCATGATGCTGACCACATCACCCATCTTGTGTTGAATGGTCTATAAAATATAGGTCTAGCCTAAAGGTGTGGAAAAGGGTCCTTTTTTTTCTCTCACTTAGACCTGTTAGTCAGAACGGAACTCGGTCGTAAGTCGAGGAGACATATATTTATATTGATATTCCTCTGTCAACACAGACGTTGAGGGAGACTTTGGCAAATGGAGTAGGCTACCTGCATGAAGGTTTGTCAGAAACAGAGAACAAGATTGTGGAGCAGTTGTTTGCTTCAGGAGCCGTGCAAGTTGTTGTTGTTGCCAGGGGGTTGGCGTGGGGCATCAATGTGTTTGCCCATCTGGTCATTGTCATGGATACACAGTATTATGATGGGAAAATGCACTCGTGAGTATATTCTCTGTATATAAACGGATGTTTGTTTTACTCAAAATTTAACAACAAAGAAACAAGAGAATATTTCTTACATGCTTTAGTGTTTCTGCACACTTGACTTTATTTCAGATTTTCACTGTTTATTGTGGAGAATTGACTTAGTAGTGAGTTAGAATACAGAATCAGAGTTGCCAGGCTGTCTTCTTCTTCTTTCGTTCGCCTGAAATAAGTTGTCTATATCAGCAGTTTTGTCTCTTGTATTAATTTCACTGTTGTTGTTAATTAATTCAGTGGTCCATAGAGTTTATGTTCCACTGTTGTTCTTTCTGGCCAAAAGGTTTGCCTTAATGTGTCAAATTCGGTGCAGTCTTGGAGTACATGCTCTGCTGTCTGGGGCACCTTTCCAAAGGTGCACATGGCTGATACACCTATCTTGAATTTTGTGTACATGTGGTTACGTGATCCGTTGTGCCCTGTTCTGAGGCGGAGGATAATGAATTGTTCTGAACCGTCCATAATAAAATAAAATACATAATATACCAGGCTGTAAAATAGATACTTGCCTTTTCTGGGTGTGAAACAGTGGTGAGACAGAGGTCTAGCTACCCTGTTTCATACAGATGTTCCTATGAATTTCTTTCCTTGCATTTCATGATGCAACTGTGGAATAGTTATCTGTGTGGATGCATGAGTGCCTACTCCTTTGGCAGGGCACATGATAATTACCAACTGTCCATAATTTCACTTCCATATATCAGGATAGGATTTATATAGCTTTTTATAATTCTTTTTCTTGTCTCAATTAACAAAGAAAGATTTCATAAAATATTCTCCATTTTATGAAATGCTGCCTTTGCTTGATCTATTCTACATTTAACTTCTTTAATACATCTTCCATCTGATGTTATCAGGGTACTCAAGAACCCGTACGTCAACCATATTGATTGATACTTTTATAACACTCATTATACACATCTTCAGTATACCCATCTCATTAGAGAATGAGTCAGTGCAGTTGTCCCACTCTTTTCAGAAATGTTTCCTAGAAATCTGTAGAAAGAAAGTGGTTGTTTATGTTAATCAGATTAAATCAAATTGTCCCCACATCATACAGTGCATCTGTGATTTACTGTATTTCAGATATGAGGATTACCCTGTGACAGATGTGCTCCAGATGATTGGAAAAGCAAATAGACCTTTGATAGATAAAGAGGGTAAGCTTTTTATTTTTTATTTTTATGTAGTGACCCTGACAATTAAATAAATGCTGTATCTCCATTTTGTAAGATATTGATAAAATATGTCAATTTATGTAGTGACCCTGACAATTAAATAAATGCTGTATCTTCATTTTGTAAGATATTGATAAAATATGTCAATTGTGTAACTTGATATGTAGATTTTATTTAATGATTTTCTTTTAAAAAGAGGATACTGTCTTTTGATCTCACCGATTTTGTGTATGTTTTGAATATTTTGCGATTTGTTCACATCTGAGAGAATTACAAAATAAAATAAAAAATATTATACTTCATGCTACCTTTATTACTTCACGGTATAGTTTTGTTTCACTGAATTATATGTGTGTGTGTGTTGTCTACAGGCAAAGCTGTCATCATGTGCCAGAGCTCCAAGAAGGAGTTCTTTAAGAAATTCTTGTATGAACCACTTCCTGTTGAGGTAAGATGTTTTGATGTGATAACAACCATCAAAAAGCACACAAATTAGATCAGTCTGGGGCTATCTTACACAGCAGGCACAAAACAGGCTTTGTTTGTTACATAAATAATACCCTATTAAATATTCAATAAAAGTAATCATGTTAAGAAAATGGTAGTTCTCACATTTGTTAGCATAAATATTTACTTTAACATATGCATAAATTTCTAAATTGTAGTTTTTTCAGCCAAGTTACATGTTTTCAGTTCTAATATTATTTCTATTTTAACATCTAATATCCGCGGCCCCCTGATTTGTGTGTGGGGATGGGGGTGTGTGTCTCTCTCTCTCTCTCTCTCTCTCTCTCTCTCTCTCTCTCTCTCTCTCTCTCTCTCTCTCTCTCTCTCTCTCTCTCTCTCTTCTCTCTTTCTCTCTCTCTCTGTGTGTGTGTGGGGATGGGGGTGTGTGTCTCTCTCTCTCTCTCTCTCTCTCTCTCTCTCTCTCTCTCTCTCTCTATATATATATATATATATATATATATATATATATATATATATATATATATATATATATATATATATATAAACACGACCAAATGCCCCTCCCCTCTCTTTCCTCATAAGACCCTGGAATGTTACTTGTTTGAATAACGAACACCAGTGTTAAAGATTTGATTGTAATCTTGTTTTATATTCTATTTGTAACTTCAGAGCCATCTAGATCACTGCTTGCATGATCACTTCAATGCTGAAATTGTAACAAAAACAGTGGAGAACAAGCAGGATGCTGTCGACTATCTGACCTGGACATTTATCTACAGGCGGATGACACAGAACCCGAATTACTACAATCTGCAAGGTTTGTCTTGAGTACTGTGTCTTAATATACACAAATTTATTGACTACATCATGAGTTTTATTAAACTGCTATGGTTGTGCCATAAAGAGAGAATGACAGGTAACATAAACAAGCTGTGTACACAAAGAGTTGACTAGGGGTAGACCACAAGGCAAACCAAGAAGATGATAGAGAGGAAATATTCAGACACAATTAGACTCTTGGCATAATCAAATAGAAAGAGAAGGTCAGTCAAGAGATGAATGGAAGTGGGTGATATCTGTAACAATTACCCTTTAGGGAACCTTAAAGGCTCTGAAGACTGAAGATAAAGAATTTACTACAGTAAAGTTTGGTTGTTTCTCAACATAAGAAGTTAATTTATTAGTCCACAAGATTTGTTTTTAATGCTTTTATTCAATTCTTGCATTTTTTGGGAGTCCAAATATTTCTGTGTGGCTGTAATGTTGGGAATCATCATTGAGTCCTTAGAAGACTCATAGGTGCTTATTGTCTTTTAGCGATATAGATGGTTAGTTATCTGTTCTGTTGCAAACAGCTCATGCTCTTTTCCTGCTAGTTGCTTGTTTTTTCCTGACATTCATTGGACATTGTGCCATTATTTTATCAGTTGTGGTGTAGTCTGTTTAAATAATTTCATTTTCTTACACGCTGGCACACACGCATGCAAGTTTACATACATATTCACACACACAGTAAAAAAAAATAAAAAAAATTATATTCAGCTAAATATTCATTGATTTCTTTCCCAGGTGTCTCCCATCGTCACTTGTCAGATCATTTATCTGAGATCGTAGAAAACACAATCAATGATCTGGAGCAGTCAAAGGTAAAATGGTCACCAGTGACTGTGTGTGCCTCTCTGGTTGTAGAGGATGCTTGTAGTTGTTTCAAGATAAAACAGGCTGATATAACTGATTGTGTGTGTGCCTCTCTGGTTGTAGTGGATCGTTGGATATGTTTCCAGATACAACAGGCTGCTAGTACTTGTTAAGACATCAATTGTTCATAGACATACATACCTAAATAAGTTAAGTCTATGGTTAGCTTTGATAATTAGAATGATAATGCATATGGATGGTGTCACTGTTCCCGGGAAGGCTAACCTAGGCAACACATTCCCGCAGAAGTCGGATGTGTGTCATCCGAAATGCGGAAAATACACCGGCTATGTTGTTTTGCCAAATGATGCAGATACAACAGCCATGTTTTTAAACAGGCACAACACATTTACATCTTTGTATGAACGCAGAAGAAGAAGTATCTCTGTTCAAGTCATGAGGCTTGTAAATATCAGTTACTAGCATGTGTAAGTATCCAGCTCATAGACATTGCATTGCTTTAGAGCCTACTGAAGTAAACTGAGACTATTACTGTCCTCTCAAGAAGAAATGTTTCACTCCTGTTTCAATTTGAAGTTCATGTTGCTAGAACACTGTGCATGTTTGTAGGAAGAAAGCTCGATTAGTGACTCATTGTTATGCATTTGTTTTCAGTGCATCAGTGTTGAAGATGACTTTGATGTGTTTCCACTGAACTTGGGCATGATTGCAGCTTATTATTACATCAACTACACCACCATTGGTAAGTCCTCTTACTCACTACAGTGGTATTTGTAGTTTTCTGTGGTAAAGATTGAGAGAGAGAGAGAGAGAGACATAAAAAGAGAGAGAGAGAAAAGTGGCATCATACCCAGTAATTTCCCCAGATTGAAAGAGGACTCAGCTTTTTTTTTTATATCTATGGATTACCATGTTTACTTCATAATGATTTCCAGCTACCTTTGCCATTATGGCAAATGTTTAAACTAAAGTAAGCCATAAATGGTGTTTGTATTTTAAATATGTTGTCTTTTCTGTGTTGGTTCTTTGACCAGTAGTGAGATTTATTCCTGTGTTTCTCATGATCTCCTTGGTTCATTCACACAGAATTGTTCAGTATGTCCCTCAACAACAAGACAAAGATCAAAGGTCTCATTGAGATTGTAGCCAACGCTGCTGAGTACGAGAATCTTCCCATCAGACATGGGGAAGCTGCAATTCTCAGACAGGTAACTGTGTGTGGGTTCAGTGTTGTACAGTTTTAAAAAAATGTGTAGAATAAAAGTACACATTGTCATCAAGCCTTTATTTAACCAAATGCTGGTGTGAAAGACAATGTGAGGGTGGATTTCCTAGTTGGCTTCACACTTTAGGAAATGGACCTTCAGTGGGCTGAATTGGTATAGATAATGCCATATAAGAGACACCATATCCTGAAGTCCTCAGACATGATGATACTGATTTCTCCCTGAAGTGGATTTGAAGACTAGATATGTCAGTTGGAACAGGATGATCTTAAAACACGCAAGAGCTCACAGTCGCTAGGTCAGCCAAGACAGAACTGGAGACTTCTGCATAAACACACTAAAGGTGAAGGTTGGAGCACTTGGGGGTATGTCTAATAAGTAGTGAAGATGATCCTGAAATGAACAATGGACAGCTACATGTAGAGATGTCTAGATATCTTTGCTTATTGATGAATATCATCATGTAGCAGATCCTTTACAAAGTGTTGCTTCTGTTGTGGCCTGCCATAATGCTGCTTAGTTCCTTGTGAATTTACCTGCTTTGTATATGTTCTTCCCAGATGTCTCGAATATCCTGTGTCCACATTTTTGCTGGTCAACCTTAATGTGAAATCTGTACTGATGTATGGAGCCTAAACATAAAGAGCAACTAAAATAGTTACTAATAAGCTACCCACACTCATTAACTGGTGCCAGTGGTATAAAGGGAATTAAATGGTAGGATAGAGTCACTAACAGAGCTTTGGAAGAAAGCAAACTAATTCCAGTGAATCAAGCATTGAGGAAAAGATGCTGGTGTTGGAAAGGATGTTAAGAACATCTGAAGATGTAATTAGAATATCTTTGCACATTGTCAGAGCAATAACCAAAAAAGTGCCAGGAGAAGAGAGCAAGTGTGAAGCTAAAAGGATGGGAAGGACCTGGCGTAAGTTGGTTGAGGCCTCATGCTTTACTGGGGGAATAAAGGGCAGAAGAAGACATACATTGTCATACTTTACTGTAATAACTTAACATTGTATTCAGTGCTTTCATTTGATTATTTTTGTCAATATGATGCTTGTTGATGGCTTTCTACAACTGGGTTGTATATTTTACAGCTGGGAAGCCGTCTACCAAACAAGATCACCAATGCCAAGTTCAATGATCCTCATGTGAAGACCAACCTGCTGCTGCAGGCTCACCTGTCTCGCATCCAGCTGTCAGCAGAACTACAGAGTGACACTGAGGACATTCTCAACAAGGTGAATATCAGTAACTCTTCTAGCTAGAGAAGCCCAGTACTTGTATATGGATAGCAGTTCTCACATTAGGGATATATGTAGACGGAAATAAAGAAAATAGACCTTTCCAAATGCCTACAGTCTTGGCTCTGTCTTACTGAATTTATATAGGGTCAGAATTAAGAGACTACAGTGACTATTCAAAATATGAAGTCTGGAAGCATACCTTATCCTGAAGATTCATTGTGACTGATGGAAACGGGAAATGTTTGTTCATTGTAGTCCTCAGGAAGATCGAGTTCAAACTCTCAAGTCCCAAATACTGCTGTTTATGTTGTCTTAGTCCTTATTAATAATAAAAAGGACCTGGGAGCATCTGTGGGGGCAAGGCTGGTGTTAAGACCCTTTCTGTCAACCTAGTACAGAACTTTCTGCGCCCTTGTTGACTGTTGCACAACTGTGCTTACCCTCTATAAGCCCAAAAGACTAAAAGCAGGTTGGCAAGACCCTGGCACAGATTGAAACCTTAAATGAACTAAAGCAAGTAATTATTAAAAGACTTAGTTCGTATTGTAGATATGAATAATTCCACAACCCAAGGAAACATGACAAATTATTCTGAATTATGCAAGCCACCTTTACTTGCATTCATCTCTGGTGTATATTTTCTGAGACTGAGGTCGCTCTCAACTGTACTGCCATGGATACAAATTCTTCTAGGTGAATTGAACCCGTCATCATTGTGTTGAATGATAAGTGCACTATCCTTTTCTGTATTGTTGTTGTCAAATAAATTTAAGTGCTGTATTTAAGAGAAGTGAGTTTTTGTCATGAAACCGTGATGAAGTAAGTCAGTGAGGTAAAACAGGGAATTGGTTGTATGGGTTTTATTTTTATATTTAAATATGCTTGGTTTAAAACACTGTTTTTAAGCTAGGCAGCAATTTGTGGGGTCTATTTATAAAAGTATCATTTACATTTGAACAGTAAGATGGCCAAGTTTCTTTTCTTACATAAAAAATAATAATTTAATTACTGAAGTTTATTTTGCTTGTATTTTTCTAAACATTTTAATTAATTGATTAAATACAAATGATATATTGTGTCCCATAACAGCCAGTGGAGGTGCCATAATGTAGCCGCTAGACACTTGCATGCGGATAACAAGGTCGTGTGTTCGGGTTCTGACAGCACAACTTTTTTAAAAATATAACCTTGATGCTTGTCAGGTTGACCCAGCCTTGAGTGGGTACCAGGTGTAGTCCATCGAAGTAAAGGTGGGTGTTGACCACATCACCCATCAAGTGCCAGTTGATCAAAGAATATAGGTCTAGTCCTGTATGCCCAATATGCCTGTAGGCGAAGAAATAAAAAAAATAACTTACACCCAGTAAGTATGAGATATTAGCTGTTATAATTAAGTGCTTGGTTATGGTTAAGTCTAGAGGGTCAGCTTCATTGCACCAGGTTTTATCCCATGTGGCTCGCTCTCTATCCATAGAATGGCTAGCCGCTTGCAGAGAGCATTGTAGCTCAGGAAACATTCCCCACGGGTCTGTAAAAATGGCGATGGACCCTGATTTATGAACAGGACGTCACTTTTATTGCGAGGCAGATGTAAATGTAACATCTCACTTGTCATGTACACATTTTAGTTTATTTCATGAACATGCTGACGAAAAAGTTTTCCTTATTTTTCACACAGGCCATTCGTTTGATCCAAGCTTGTGTGGATGTGTTGAGTAGCAACGGCTGGCTGAGCCCTGCATTGGCTGCCATGGAGCTGGCTCAAATGGTCACACAGGCCATGTGGTCTAAGGATTCATCTCTCAAGCAGCTGCCACACTTCACCACAGAAATCATCAAGAGATGCCAGGAAAAGGTATGTCTGTTTTTTTGTCTGTTAGTCTGTATCTGGATGTCTTTATTTGAGATGGTCCTCAGTCTGTATCTGGATGTCTTTATTTGAGATGGTCCTTTGTTGATTACCATCATCAGTGGTGTGAATGTTAAATCATATGCATACATCATCCCTTAAAAAACGTAGGTGTATTTACTACTAGTTTATACAGAGACAAGCATTAAACAGGAAAGCTGATATTCTAGCTTTAGGGACACTAGTCATTTGAACATTCAGGATTTCTCAAAATAATCCAGGTTAGGGTGCTGCAAGTTGAACACAGAGATTGATGAATCAACACCCAGACATCTTGTTTTTCGACATCATTAATTAAAGTAGTGGTAATTATTGCACACGGGAACAACACAGCGATATATACTAATGAAGTGGTTAGTATTTACTAAGTCAGTGGTCTGCAAACTCTTTAGTTGAAAGAGCCAAAAATCAGCGGCAGGACGATTACACTTTTTAGAACCAAATCTTTTTTCATAAACCTGTCAAGAACCATGTTTTTTGGTCGACTGGCCGAGCCAAACTGAGGTCGATGAAGAACCGCATGTGGCTTGCGAGCCGCAGTTTGCCGATCACTGCCATAAGTGCACTAAGGAGCATAAGGATTCTGTATTTCTTGAGAGAGACAGATGAAAAACATAGTTTATTTTGCTTAATAAATCTATCAAATCGATCGTTGCTGTTAACACTTCATGTTTCTATGTGTCACTTCTGGACATATTTGCATTTTAAAATTCTCACAGAACAATCCAGAAGCTATTTCTAAGATAGTATAGGTGCCAGTCCTGTTTTAAATCAGTGAAATCAAATTTAACCCTGATGTCTACATTTATCTATAATTTTCCTTGCTGAATCAGTATGTCTCTCTCATTGCAGAATCTGGAATCCATCTTTGACATAATGGAAATGGAAGATCAGGACAGATCCGAGCTGCTCCAGTTATCTGAAGCTGAAATGGCAGATGTGGCAAGGTTTTGTAATAGGTATCCCAACATTGAACTGACCTATGAGGTCCTGGACAAGGAAAGCATCAGAAGGTTAGTAATATTATATGTTCAGCATTTTTACATTTTCAGAGAACACATGTTTTATATGTAGAATAAGTTTTATTTCTGTATTAGTGGCGCGGTGATGTCGGTCACAGGCATGAGGCAAAGTTAAGTCTGATGTGATGTGTATAAGGAGATACTCCGTACCCCACTCGGGCGTCAGTCCTTCACTGTTCTGGTTTTACGGAACTTCATGCAAGACTCCTGCTGTACGTCCCCGTCGTGCGCCACGGAAAATGTCTCAAATGAGCATTAACAGAGTTGGCAGGGGATCTCAGAGCTGGGGGCCCCTAGAGGTGTAGTGTCCTTTTTGGCTCTCACCAGCCCGCCCCCAAACGCATGGGTGAAAAGTCTAGCAAAACTCAAGGATTGCTTGCTAAATGTACCATCAAATGACAACTCTCTGTTAAAATTCGGGAGCGAATGGAAAACTGTGCTGCTGAGACTTAACCCTGACCGAGAGATTTACCTGCAGCCAAGACGAGTAACATCTCTTGTGGGCGACTTCTCGCAGCAAGATCCTACCTACGTACATCCTCTGTCAATCCTCAGTGTCGTTGTCACCGCGCTGAGGTACACCACAGCAGCAACTTTTCATATGCTGGCTAGGAAATAATGTCCGACAAAGTTATACCCCACGGCACACATGCAAGCTCAAAGTCCGACGATCATAATTCGTACCGATTAGGAAAAAGTCCAAATGTCCGTATCCACTGGTCCCACTCGCCCGAGTGTTGGAACCAAACAGGTGAAGCCACGCCTGACGCATTTTGCTTCCCCATTCTGTCGTGCTAAGGAAACTGAAACAACGTTAAAGGTGTCTAACGTGCAATGAAAAAGAATGTAACTATTTGTGTGGCCACAAGTCCTGGACCTGCGGGCTGCTCCCCGCTGATCTCCGAAGAGTGCAGCCTTGTAGCGCGGGAAGCTCAATACACGGTTGTGAGGTTAAGCAGTCATGGGCAGGACGTGACGATTCCTTGGGTGAGCCCAGAACCAGAGCATCATGTGTCGGCTCTGCATTTATGGAAGCCTCCTTGGATAGCGGGGAATGCCTATGATCTGCCCCTGTCTTCCCTTGAGGGCTGACAATTCTACCTAGGGCTGCCTTAAGGACGATATTCCGGGGGCCACACCTGTTAAAGGCCAAAGAGGACACCATACAAATGAGGCAACATCTCGACCCACACTAAACAATGGCCACAGTCAACCTAGAAATAGGCTTGACGTCTTCCCTCGAAGTCGGAGTACATCTGCCGGAGAGGCAGGGAACGAGAACTGCAAACAAATAAGCCAGTAAAACGGATGTACACGCAAAACTCAGGTCAAGGTAAAAGCCAAAAGTCTATTTGGACAAACAACCGCGACTTACCGCCGGAATTCACAGCCGGTGAACAAGAAGAAGAAGAAGAAGAATTTCTGTATTAGAAATCATGTTTTGAAGGCTGGGATTTTTTTTGTCTTTAACTTGTTCTTCTGTTACATTTCAAATGTAGTGACTATCACAGCTTTATTTTTAAAGCAAAATTATACACACAAAATTGTGGCTTGTGAGAAGTCAGAAAAGATGAAATTGACATCCATGAAGTTATTTGGTTTTTATATCTGGTATTTGAAATTAAAATAAAAACACCCTTTAAGAATTGAATTTGAATAGATTTTGTACATTTGTGTGTATGGGGCCCCATTTTAGGGATAAAATAATAAATCCACTCCCTCCCTAACAACGTTGGCATTAAAAAAAATAGACTAATTATTTTTTTTTTACCTTTAAAGTTGGAGTGCTTCTGCCTGAAAGGCAAGGAACTAACAGTCTGCATACAGATAACCAGATTTCTAAAATGGATTTGCCTGCAAAATTCAAGTTCTGAGACAAGATCAAAGCCCAGGAGTGGATGAACAGCCAGAAATTATTAATGGAGTTTATAGCCAGTGAATGCCAAGATGAAGAATAGATCCCCCTCTAAACATAGACCAACCAGTGTATTTAATGATCATGTATTCAGTGATCATGTCTATTGCCATGTGCACAAGCCACAGACATATTTGTGTTACAGCTAGATTGTTCTAATAATGAAGATGCTTATTCTTACTTCTGATTTATCCACAGTGGCTCCAATATCAACGTGACAGTGACTTTGGAGAGAGAGGATGAAATTACTGGCCCAGTTATTGCTCCCTTCTTCCCTCAGGTGAGTCTATTGACCATTCTCTGCTCAAGCAGATAATATAAAATACAAGTCTCTGAAAGTTTTTACATTCAGCTAGAATATATAGCTCTTCTTAGGCTAGCTAGTAGAAAGTTATGATTCTGATATTAAAAGTTCATGATTTTGAAAAATAAGACCCTCATGTGGGTTCCAGATCCCCATTTAGGGAGCGCCCCCCCCCCCTTCCTTTCTGGCAAGCATGTTGTAAAACACAATTAAAACAAGTTGAAGAATTGTCTACACTGAATATTAATGGAAAAACGATGAACGGTCTGAGATTTGCTGGTGAGACATTGTTACCACAGAAAGTGAGCAGGAGTTACACAGCCTAGTGGATCAGGTCAGCAGGCAGGATGCAGAGTTTATTATACTGTAAATATTTAACAGTTAAATATTGCAATTACTTTTCTGAACACTTTTTTGTTTTTTTGTATTATGTTAGTATCCCTGATATTGTATGTATCCATTATATTTAAGAAATTTATTTCATTCTTAGAAGGGAAGCAGCAGAGTTTAGATAATGGCAATAACTAAAAAGCACGAGTGTATTACTTTTTTACTTTGTGAAAAAAAATATTTTACAAATGTATTAGCTGCATAGTAAAATACTTAGCCATTTTTCCTTAGTACATAGTTAGACCAACCATAAAAGATATGAGACATATAACATTAGAAAACAAAAGCTATGGAAATTAACAATGGAAAAGAGCGTCAGAACATGAACATTACAGTAGACATGGAGATATTAAACAAGTAACAGGTTTCTCTCGTCTCAGACGCGTAGTAACAGATGATAGCACAAGTAAAACAGATATCAAAAAGAGAAAAGGAGCGGCTAGAAGTATCTCCAGTATGAAGTGAAAATTATTAACATCTAATAAGGCGAAAATTATTGACATCTAGAGAGATCACATTCAAAATAAGAATCATTAAATTTTTGTATTCTCAACCCTGCTGTATGGTGCAGAAATCATGGACAATAAATAGGCAACTAGAAAATCAAATTGAGACTGGAAATGTATATACAGAACAATCAGTCCTATTTCATGGAAGCAAAAACAGTCCAATACAGAGGTTCTAGAAAGACTACAAATAAAAAAAAAATTACTAGAAGAATTAAAAATAAAAACAGTTTAAATATTTTGGCCACATTAAAAGGCAACACTTTTAAAAATCTTATGGAGGTGAAGGTTGGGGCACGAGTGCAAAACATAGTCAGCAATACAGGTGGGAGGACAACATCAGGATATGGAAGAACAGCAGTTTGAGACAACAAACACAAGAGACAGAAGTGTGTTGGAAATCTATTGCAGTCAACCTGCTTTATGGAAATGCACCTGATTAATTGACTTGGCCTGCAAAGTGGCTAGACTCTTGCCTTGTCACTTGGCCTATTAAAAAATATGAATCTAGAATTATATGTCGGTGCACCACTGGTATAAAAAGGATCAATTTTTTAAAAACTCTACCTGTAGTTATCCGTTTCACAAAGTTGTATATGGATAGCTTTGTCATTTATTCAGTTGATTCATTGCCTTACTTTATAATGATAATCCACTGTCTGTTTTCAGAAACGTGAGGAAGGCTGGTGGGTGGTCATTGGTGATCCCAAAAATAACTCCTTGCTGTCCATCAAACGTCTGACCCTGCAGCAGAAGGCCAAGGTTAAGCTCGACTTTATGGCCCCAGCGCCCGGTCACTACAACTATGTCATTTTCTTCATGAGTGATGCCTACATGGGCTGTGACCAGGAGTACAAGTTTAGTGTGGATGTCAAGGAGGGCGACAGCGACAGTGAAAGCGATTAGAAACTATATTGCTGCTTCTTGTTATGTTCGAAATTGACATGTTTCTGTTTTTTTGTTTTTTGGTAATTATCCCCAAATGGTGACAGTAATAGGAAACTGTTTTGTTGTCATTTAAACATGTAAATTTTTTGCTTGTTGTTTTGCAGTTGTATGTGATGGAAGTGAGAATGAACGTGCATACATGATCAGTTTATTATACTGTAAATATTTAGCAGTTAAATATTGCAATTACTTTCCTGAACACTTTTTTTTTTTTTTTTGTATTATGTTAGTATCTCTGATATTGTACGTATTATGTTATATGGATGAAGACACACTATTTAAGAAATTTATTTCATTCTTAGAAGGGAAGCAGCAGAGTTTAGATAATGGCAATAACTAATGAAAAAGCACGAGTGTATTACTTTTTTACTTTGTGAAAAAATATTGTACAAATGTACTAGCTGCATGGTAAAATACCTAGCCATTTTTCCTTAGTACATACTTAGACCAACCATAAAAGATATAACAGGACATTCTTTGAAACTATACAATCGTCTCAGTTATAGAAATGAAACACAGACGCATGTCAGTCACCAAACCCACACTGTATAAGACTTTTACCAATATTTATGTATAGGAAGTGGTCACTACATTATATTCCTATGTAAATTACTTTTTAGTTAGTTAGCATTGGTAGTCTGTACAGATTATTATTGTATTTAATATTCTTTTACATGATGCGGTCCACACACTAATAATTCTGCCTTAAAAAAAATATCAGTTCAGTAAGCGTTGACAATGTACGAGATTGGAAATATTTTGCACACATTGTTTTTTTTTTATATATGTCACTTCAAATAAATGCTGTCCTGAAACTGAAATCCGGTACTCAACAACATGATGAGTTTTTTTTTAAAACAAACTGTACGCAACCTAGAGGTCTTGGGTTGAGGGTGTTAAAACCTGACATCATAACACGATTTTGTGTGTGTCCATACTTTTCTCTGAGTGTTGTGTTGGCCAGGTCCTCTGGTCATTCTCTTTAGACATGATAGTCTTTTTTGGGCTCTTGAACTATTAAATTGCCCCATGTTGAAGCCTTGTTTGTTTGTTGTTCTCGTTGTCTCCTTATGTACAGGTCTTACCTCTGGAGACTTCGTCCAGGGCATCTACACAGACAGGTCGGCCTTCAAAAGAAGGCAGGGGCAGATCATGGGATTCCCCGCCAATCCAGTGAGGCTTCCATAAATGCATAGCCAACAAATGACACTCTGGTCCTGGGTTCACCCTGGTAATCGACATGTCTGCCTAGTCTCACATTCATATGTTGAGCTTTCCAATTGTCAAGGTCTGCACACACTGAAGATCAGCAGGGTCTGGGACATTGATCTCATGCCCCAGTTTTCTTCACCACACAAGGCACGGTCTAACTCTGGAGGTTTGTTCATAGTAGAGTTTTCTAATTCTACCTTTTAATTTTTACTTGATTTTTTTTTTAACATTCTATAAGTGGATTTGTTATCTTTTAGCATCTGTTTTCTGACACAAAATGGCCATATAGCTGAACAAAAATTACATCGCTTTGGTCTGTTCTGTTGTTTCTTCTCCCATTTCTTATTTACAAGGTCTGTGACATATTTTATTCAGCCTTGTAGTCATGCTGCTTCACTTGCAATAATATTGGGTCGGTTATAGTAATTCTCCTTGTAGTCACTTCGACAGATACAACTTTCCTTAATGAATACCACAGAAGAGTGCTCAATTTCCAATACACATTCTGTCATTTTATTCCTGGCGATCCTCACACTTTCCAGTCATTTATTGACATCGTTGCTCCGTTCCACAATCTCTGCAATAATCATTCACATGACATTTAATACATTTAATTCAAACAACATTACAACCATCTTCCAAGAACTTTGGTACCCAACTGACCACCAGCCAACCCCAAGGCTTTGCCTAGTTCATATCTCCAACTCCGAAGATCTTTTGTAATCGCCACTTGCACAGATTTTCTGCTCGGCTTGTTGTGAGCGTGGGCCATCATGCAGAGCACACCACCACATCGGTGTCTTTCTTTGCTAGGACAAAAAAATGTGATAGCCTACTTCTTGTGTAGTTGACATTTGACCTTGAAATGCCATACATTGGCCACTGTAGTACAAACTGGGGCAGCCTTTGATGGACTACCTGTTCCTTGCATGTCTGCTAAGCCGGGCAGATCTCTGTCTACAATTCCTAAACCCTTGCAGATATGAGACAGGGTAACTGTAATCTCTTGTGATGTGATCCTTCAGTGTGGCCAGTTTGAACTGTACCATGCCTTTGTCTTTACAAGTCCACATACTGAGAGTTCCTTGATAGCCAGTTCTTTTCTGTCATCGTCTTCTGAAGCCTTTTGAACTGGCTTCTTTTAATAGGGATGATCATATGCACCTGCCTTGTCATAAAAATCATGGGAGGGGGGTGATCATCTGGCACCAAGTTGCTTGGATGGATGTGGGTTTTGGTGAGGAGCTGAGCATAGTTGTTCTCATCTAGCAGCCTCAAGGAGTGCTCTAGCATAGCACTCACATTGGCAGTTTATCTCTCCTTCGTCCTAATTAGATTTATACGCATCTGGTGGCGTAGCAAACCAACAGGAATACTGTAAGGGTTATCGCCCTCACAGATGATATTCTTGCAATTTTCGGTCAAGTTGTAGTTTTACAGTGTCGGCATATTCACAATGATATAACTAGTGAGTATGACCTTCAAACTCTGCCCTTCGTTTTATAAAGGTCATGAGATTCTGAGCTAAGCCAAGGATTTCATTCAGATCAAAATCAATTTTCTAGATTTGTGATCTCTGGTGCTTCTAATAAAGGCTCAACATGTTTCAGTTTGGACTGGGCAGTTTCTAGACGTCTGCTCTCAATGTCATTGACACATGCTGCAAACCCGAAAAACTGAGAGGCATTGATATGCATGTATTGTTTACCACTGGGTGGACAATTATAACAGTCAAGGTGAATTGAGACCTGATCTGCCAAACATTATTAACTAGATTTCATCTGGCACCCGCAAGTTGCTCAAATGGATGTGGGCTACTGTGAGGAGCTGATCATGGTTGTTCTCATCTAGCAGCTTTAAGGAGTGCTCTAGCATATCACTCACATCGGCAGTTCATCTCTCTGTTAATCATTCGTTTAAAATATATCTATATATATATATATATATATATATATATATATATATATATATTCTTGTTTAACCAGCTCCTAGGAATGAGCGCCTGTTATATCAAGACTGTGTTTATTTCCTTGTTTTATTTGTCTCTCCTTTGTCCTATTTAGATTTATACCCATCTGGTGGCATAGCAAACCAACAGGAATACTGTAAGGGTTGTTGCCCTCACAGATGATATTCTTGCAATATTCTCAAGTTGTAGTTTTACAGTGTCGGCATATTCATCGTGATATAACCAGTAAGTATGACCTTCAACCGCTGCCCTTCGTTTTATAAAAGTCATGAGATTCTGAGCTAAGCCAAGGATGTCACTCGGATGCAAATCAATTTTCTAGATTTGGGATGTCTTGTGATTTCTGGTGCTTCTAATATAGGCTCAGCATGTTTCACTTTGGACTGGGCAGTTTCTAGACGTCTGCTCTCAATGTCACTGACACATGCTGAAAAACTGAGAGGCATTGTTATGTGTGTACTGGTCCTGTTGTTTGCCACTGGGTGGTTAATCAAGTCATTGTCGAGGTGAATTGAGACCCAAGCTGGCAATTTGACACAACTGTCTTTGACCACTGCAGAAGACCTGACTTCTGAACTAATTGAATTAGGTCCAGCACTGACCAGATGTATTTCTTGTTCTCTTTTTGTAGTTAACAATTGAATCTGGTCCTCCATCAGTTTGATCCTATCTTCCTGTCTTTCAAGAATTGTGACTGTAAGTTATTATATAGCAAATCCTTGTCAGTCTCCGTTTTAGAAAATGCCTGCTTCAACATCAAGATCATGTATTTTTACTGGTGTCTGGAGCATCTTGGATCACAGCAAGTGAAATGGTTTGCCCACTTAGAGAGAATGCCTTGTGACACCATACCATACAAAGCATACATGAAAAGAGAAGGACGTAGAGCACGAGGTAGACCAAGAACAAGATGGAAGGATAACATCAGAGAAACTCTACAACAGCACGATGTACCTATGGTCGAGGCGGCCAGAAGAGCTAGAAACAGAACCTTATATCTCCCTCGATACCCACAGCGATAAAAGAGGAAGTGAAGAAGAAGAAGAAGAAGTCTCGAGCATCTGGTCTGGTTTGGTCAATTACGCGAATTAGAGAAACATATTTGCTGGTTAGTTGTTTGCAAGCATTTTTCAGAAAGCAGTTGTCATGTCATCATTTATCAGCATAGCCAGTTACCTGCCAGTCTGCTAAACTTGGTACATTTGTAGTTTATAGTGCATTGAATGCCGACTGGTTAATTTGTCCTTATTATTAATTTTCTAGACACACGCACACACAATGCAGACTGTATATCTTGTTGTTATCTATATTTTTTAAATCCTTGTATATTCTGCTTCTTATGAGAAGCAATAGACTTGAGAACTAAGTTTAACTGGCAAGATTGGTGGGAAAAGAGCAAAGAGATAAATACCTGGATGTATGCATGGTGTGAGGCATGCACTGACCTGGACTGCGATTTTTATGACCATGGGAGATGGAGAAACATGACTGCCTCTGCTTATCGGCGGGGCACATGATGATGATAGTGTTCCACTAGATTGTTTCCTGATTCTGTCTTGGTTTTATCAACATAATTGAGTTCCTGCATATTCAGTTAGATTGTTTCTTGACCATGTCTTGATTCTCTCTAGATATTTCAGTTCTTGCATATTCAGTTGTCGGCTCTGGGGCTAAGATGATGTGAACACTTCGTAATGCTGGAACGCTGGGTTTGATCCCAGCTTTGGGCCCTGCACCTTGCGTTGGTTTCGACAGTGGTATCAAGAAAGCCAACCAT